GCACGAGGTGTGTGTGGGGGGAAAGAGGGGGAAAGACAGACCGGACCGGACGAGCATGGATGTTCGGAGTTGCTCTTGACTGCTGTTGAAAGTGGATCCCAGTTGGTTTGATTTCCCAAGGAAAAAACAAACGAGGGAGCCAATGGCCATCGGCAGGCATGAAACAGGCCAGAAATGGGTGCGTGGCTTGACAGGATGTTGCTGCAAGGAGGGGGCTGAATTTCGTCTTTAGTGCGTCGTCGTGACTCTTGCCCCGGGGGTTTTGTTGGTGGTACAGTACCAGTCCTCCTGGCCTTCCGGTTTGGCGATAGAGTCTACCTTCTTTGTTGATTTTTTGATGCCTATGCTGGTCATTCGGCGATCTGCATCAGTATGTCCGAGCAGGTTTACCGTAGACCTCAGTTGAGTCAGTGATCAGGCTGTGTCACCATTATTTATTTAGTACGGAGTACACGCATCCCCCATTCGGGTCAATCTATACCGGACGCCTGGGCTATCATTATCAGGGTGCCCCTATTGTGATATGGTTGATTGGAGGGGGCCATTGTCACATTGACACATTGAACATTCCACTTGCACGGAGCCCAGAGCGGAGAGTGCCTTTGGGTCTCGGCTCCAGCCGCCCAGCCGTGGCATTAGTAGTTTAGTACTAGCAGTATATTTTCCGTACTAGGCTAGGTACCTACTAGGTAGAGTCTAGACTGAGCAATTTGTTTTAGTGTACCAGGTATCCGTACATACCTGGGTAGTACAAAGTACCTAATGCTATCTCGACGCAAAGGAGGTAAAAGTAGCGACGGTAGCATGGTGGGTATGTATCCATGGATCTCTTCAAGGTACCGGTTGCGAGGGGAGCGTCACATGTTATGAATCGAATAGACTTTGGGTCTACATCGCTATATTTTTATCCTCCAAGCAAATCCCTTCCTCGCGATAACAAGCGCTTTGGGGGTTAGCGTTAGTACTTGGTGTTACCAACCTCACTGAGAGGGTGTCCAGCCCTCCAGCGTCACATCCCTCGATCCCGATTCCCCAATTCACGACGGGATGGAAGCGGGCCATCTAACTGGCTTCCGTCCTGCGCCCGTCGTCTGCGCATGGGAATTCAAAAAAGACAATTCCATGAGGAAGCGGCTGGAAAGTGAGCGGCGGAAGGTGCACGGTCTCGACTTCGGCCACGTTGCACCCCTTGATCTTGGCAACACACTAGAGGATAAAGATCTCACCTGTCTCCAAATGGATGGGTAGGCTTTGATGGCAGCTGTGATTACTGATTAGTTTATTCGAATCAATCCTTCTCTCGTAATTCCTCAGATCGAACCTGTCTTGAAGAATCCTGACCCGACGACCTTTTTGATTTGCAACTACTAACCGAGATTCTCTCTCTACCTTTGCGGGGCCGGACGACCGGTGGACCCGATAAGTCATCTGACATGCGCTCCAGGGAAACCAAAAGAGCCTAAAGGGCACCTGGCACAACATCCTCCACTCCAGCCTTGCTATCATTTCCCTTCATCCATTCATCTCCTTACTTTCCCTCCCCCCTTTGGGTAAAAAGAAAAAAGAATAAATTATCAATAACATGACGTATTCCGTACAACAAATCAACATGATAAAAAGAAAGCAGGGCCCCCACCCACCCTTGACCCAACATTCCAGGCACCCTGGCTGGGATAAGGGGGCTACGAGGCCAACATGCTGTGCTATAACATGAAACCAGTTAGAACGATCAAGACTCTTGCCTGATTAGGACACTGCTCTTGAAGAAGTCTGTAATTATTAGAAAAGATGGTGACCGAACTACGGAGTACTCTGATGTTCCCTCCCTTCCCCCTTGCAGGGATGGGAAAGAGTAAGTGGATGTCACCATGACAGTGTCTGGCTGGCACTCGGAATCCCGAGACGCTTTTTTTTTCTTTTTTCTTTTCTCGCCTTTCTTTCTTTTTTTTTTTTTTTTTTTTTCCCGTCTTAATCTGTGGCTTTTTCTATTATTATTGTCTATTGATTAACTGATTTAATTAATTTAAAATTAGGCTTGAGGCTCAAATACCGGTACATGTCCCTCATGGCATGATTTATAATACGATCTTCTGCTGAACACCGGGCAGTTGCACTAACTGAAAGGGGCAATGCTGGCCCAAGGCGGCAAGGCCCCCCATGTGTAGGGCTGAAGAAAGGTTCGTCCATTGGCCAGTGCTGGCTTGGTGTGACTCCTCGGGTCCTCATGCCAATCACCGGTTTGGACGGGGGGAGGGACGTCTTGTTGATCCTGGCTGTGTTCTCTTGGCCTGGGCACACATCCTCCTCCAGTTCGCAACCTCTGGATCACCCATGTAACCCTATCTCGTATGAGCGTTCCGCAGTTATACCCCGTTTGGGCCCCACGGTCCGAAAATTACATACCACACTACTTTGGGAGACTAAAGTATGCACACTCATGCCCGCGTGCAGAAACCAGCTCATCTCTGCATGGTGCACAGTAATCATCTAATTTGGTCTCAGGTCCGCTGGCGGGCTTGGTCCCCGCTGGTTTGGTTTGCCCGGCATGACTCCCCCTTGGGTGTCTATTATCATTGGACAAGGCGTATCTCACGGGCTCCTCGAACATTCTAGCAAACATCTGGAAGCATTTGGCCCCCGAGGAATGATGGTGGGCGTAATTCCTTAGTTAGTGCCGGTGATAATATCCCTATTGCTCCCATGCTTGGATCTGCAGTACGGTGTACTTACTGTACGGTGTAGGTCTGACGAGGAATGTATACCGTCACCAACCTAGGTGGTGAACCAAAGATGGAAAACGTAAAAGAAAGATCTAAAAGAGAGAAACAATACCTAAAAAGAGAACGTAACTGTTGTGGGACCAACATCGTTCCATGGTGTCATGATGGGGGAGGCAGCATACCCGCAAGTCGACCCCGAGGAGCCGCTATTCCTCCTGCGTAAATTTTTGCGAACCGAGCTGTGGAACGCATTCCAGAAGATTACGGATTTCAGCCGCGGAGACGGTATGGGGTAGTTAGTTTACGGGGCACACACACACACACACACACGTGGTCAGACTTGCTGGCTGACGGCAGGTGGTGGACGGGAAACATGGCTTGGCTTCTTTTTGAGCCGCCGGGTTTTCGAGTCTGCGAGTCTCGACATTTCTATTTTTCGCTACTTGGGATTCGGTCGGGTCTGGCGGGATCGAGTCCCACCTGACAGACTGATAGACACGGAACCTGCTATGGGAGTACTTCACCTCCGATACCCTCCGTCTACTGTGTAGTTGAGTACACCTTGACGAACATCTCACTCCGCCTAATCTGATATCAATTAAACATCTTACTTTTGAACTGCCTTTCATGGCGGTGCTCACTCACTAGGACTTCCCGTCTCCATGCTTATCCGGCCTCTCCGGTGGCCTTATTTGCTGGCCTTGGGTATTTGGAATCGATAAGGACCGGGACTTCAGTCCCAGCGGACGAAGCCACAGCGGTCAAAGCGGTCGGGCGTTCTACTCTGCCTCTGAAGAGATATGGCTCCCTGGGTGGCTTGTCTACTAAATAACACCATATTCCTAATCTGGAATTTAGGCAGTTGTGGCAGAAACGCGAGAGAGAGAGCCAGCCCCTGCCGTATTGTGGTAAGTGAAGTCTGAAGAGTTTTGAATTATTTAGCCAGCATAGAGCAACTAACTACCTATATGATACTTGACGTCGCGTTCTTCTATCAAACTGCACGTTCTATATACTCACTCCCATGAGCTCAGGACATCCCTCTCTTCCAAAGTACTGAAACAATTACAATACTGTACGGGTGATAACAATAGTAACAAAGACACTACAGCTGCAAGAACCTCCATGCAAACCATTCCCTGTTCAGCTGCAGGATCCCAAGAGCCTCAGGTGCCTTAGCGTGGTGCGTTACGCGGTGACCAAGCCTGCAGCCGTACGGCGTGTAGTTTCCCTCCTTGGGGCTTGGACTCTGGGAGAAAAACAAATCCATCTACTGTACTCCGGTCAGTTGCATCCATGATAGCCCATGCAGATGGTCTAGTACCTAGTAGGCAACTGTTTTTCCTGTTTAGTCGGAAGCGACGGTGATAGCGCTCGGACAAAACGGACACCCTAAAACCCGATCTCCGTTCTAAACTGGGTGGGGATGTCATAACATAACGTGGAAATGGGTTCAGATCATGGCACCATCATTGGATCCCTAAGGCGGATGATTGCACCATGAGGAGGGGGGGAGGAGCATTGCGGCTCACCCGCAAAAAAAAAAGGAGGTGAGTCAAGTTGCGTGCATTGTTTCAGGCCTTTTTTTTTTTTTGTCACTTGGTCGTATTCCAAGGGCCCACACTGGCAACTGACACAGCCTTGATCATCCGGCCGGGATCAACATTTTAGTTCTTCTTAGGGGGGAATCCACTGGACCACTATCCACGTATTGAATGAAATGACAGTGAATACTAACTACGGAGTATACGGAGTTAATGGGTAAACTAATCAATAAATGAACATTTTGATCGTTCCCGTCCCGCCCCCGACGAATTGAATGGTTGTCATTTTGCTCGATCGCTTCCCGCTTGATTGTCGAAGGGGCCGAAAAACAATCCACACAAATAGAATGATGATATTAAACACCTACTGTGGAGTACCCAAGTGAACTACGGTCTACGAAGTCTACTCGGGCTCCGTACAGCTAACTAACAGTAACAGCATGCACATATCGTACGGGGAGTTCTGCAGCGCAGCTACCAGCCTCCGACCTGAAACTGATTTGGCCCCAAGTGCCCCGTGCAGAGCGCACCATGAGGAAGTTTTGGAGAATCTAATGCAGGTTGTTTGGCAGTATGGAGCGTATGGCCTGGGGCCTAAGTTGGTCTGCCTTCTCGTCTTGCGTCTTTGCTAGGCAGAATTCATGTCGGCCAACGACGATTGCGTGGGTTTCTGATTTCTATGACGATATGAATACCCTAATCAACCTCCTTCGGTTGCACTGCCCAGCAGATCAGCCTACCTCGTAGATTGTACTGCCTTGATGTTTTTCGTTCTTGGTTGTTGGACATCTTGGATAGTACGTAGAATATGGGTTTGCAGAGGACATGGAAGAATCGACGGTGACATGAGTACTAGATTTGCTATTCGCTTCCGAACGGGAGAGTCGGGGTCACCAGACTCCCGACTAAGTCTAGGGTAAATCTGGACAATGTAAATCCAAATCCACTCTTGCAAGTGCTGCTTTCTGTCGATACTACTAGGCCGCGCTGCCCGGCCGCTGGCGGTCAACACCAAGACGCCCGGGACTTCCAGGCGATCGAGTCGTCCCACAACTCGCGCCTTCCCGGAATAGCCAAACTGAACAAACAGAATCAAGAATGTTCCAATGTATATGAATGGATTGAGTGACACACTCCATGCCACGTCTGTAACAGCGGCGCTCATGTAACATCACGGGTAGTAAACAAAATGACCGAGAAACGAAGATAACCACCCTCTTTTACTCTAAAATCCACAACAGGAAAATCAATGCCGACTGACCTCCCCATTGGGTAGGTTAGTCGTTCACAGAACATAACTAATAAGACAGTTAGCGCAAGTGACTCAGAGCGGACGAGGATACAGGCACAACTCACCTCCAGTGATGGTCCTCATCACCGTACTGGATTCCCTCGATCCAGTTCTTCATCTGGAGAGCGATCTCACCAGCTTCTTCGTTTTCCTTCAACCCGCAGTCCACCGACTTACCCCGGTAGCTGATAGACCGCACGGGACTCACGATAGCCGCAGTACCAGAGCCAAACACTTCGACAAGTCGTCCCTCGTCAGCCGCTTCGGCAACCTCCGACATTCTGATCTTGCGCTCAGACACGGTCCAGCCCTTCGGCACGAGTCGCTCACGGGCGAGCTCGAGAACGGAGTCTCGGGTGACACCCTCGAGAATCGTTCCATCCAAAGGTGCAGTAACCAGCTCTTTCTGTCCCGTCTCCTTGTTTTTCAACGCAACGAAGAGGTTCATGGTACCGACCTCCGTCACGTATTCTTCCTCCCCGAAGAGCCACAAGTTTTGCTGGAAGCCCCTCGAGGCGGCATTCAGCTGAGGCAGAACGCAGGGGGCGTAGTTGGCACCCAATTTCTTGTCACCAACGCCGCCGGGCCAGGCTCGGACGGCATAGTCGGTGGCCTCCAAGGAGATCGCCTTGAATCCGGTGGGGTAGTAAGGACCAACTGGACTTGCGATCACAAACAAAAGAGCAGACCCGGGGGGTCCGACGCCAAGGGTTTTCTGCGTACCAATCATGGTGGGCCGGAGGTAGAGCGAGTATCCCCGAGCGTCGGGAATGAATCGACTGTCCAGATTCACAAACTCTCCGATCAACTTGGTCAAAGCTTCGCCGTCGACGGTGGGTAAAGCAATGCGCGACGAAGACTTGTTAAACCGCTCCATGTTCTTATCCGGGCGAAACAGGCGAATTTGACCTTTGCTGTCCTTGTATGCCTTCATGCCCTCGAAGCACTCGAAGGCGTAGTGAAACACGCATGCCGAGGGGTCCAAGCTTAGGTTCTGGTAAGGTACAATCTGGGGAGTGTGCCAGCCTTTGTCCGCGGACCACTCAATGGAGAGCATATGATCTAGAACGTTCCCAATGCGTCAGTGACTATCGAGTATCGACAGCAGAGCAGAGGTCGACAGGGGGTCAAACCGGTGAAAGTCTTTCCGAATACAAGGTCTTTGGCCGCCGTCAATTCTTTCGGCGTGGTCGTTTTCGTGACGGCGAGTTTGGCAGGGTCGAGGCCAGCTAATTGCGACGCAGCGGCCGCAGAGGCACTGAAGTTCCGCTGGCATAGTCTGGCAGAGGACTGGATTGGCAAGGCACGCGGGGCGGCAAAGCTATGCAACGCCCTGCGGCGAGTCAAATGAAGAAGGGATTTCATGGCCGAGAACAATATGTTGTCAGTTCTCATCCGAGAAGAAGGTCGTCGAGGCAATATAAACCGGATTCTTAAGGCGTAGACAGGCAGAATTGAGGGAGGTGAAAGGCGATGAACTCGCGGACAGCGGACTTTTAAGGTTGATGATCGGTGACTCTTTTCCACGGACCCCGGAGACAACTCCGGACGAGCCGATAGCCGATCTAGCACGGCGAGCCAATCAGAGCCTGGTCAACCTTCCTACAACAGACCTTCAATTCTGACTCACAAAAGAAGAGTCAATCGATTCATTTCTCATCAACTTGACTGGCAGCTCAATAAGCCGATTATCCGGTCAGAACAAAGAGAAGAGCTGCCCTGATGGAAGCAGGAAGGCCGACCTCGGATGGGGGCGGCCGATGGGGCAGGCGGTGAGAGATGCTCTTCTTTGGGGCATCGGGCTGGCCCCTTTCACGTGACGGGGGAGATGCATGAGGTGGAGGGACTCGAGTTCATCGCAAAATAAGCATCCCCGTGTATAGAGCTGGCCCCGGTGGAACCCACCCACTCTTCCACCTTCTTCCTTCTTTCCCCTCTCCCTCCTCGTCACTCCCTTTTTTGTCCAGTTCTCTGGTCGTACTCCAATTTCTAAGCTGCAGCTTGCCGAGACGGCCTCACATGCGATTGCGGTGGATGCGATGAGCAATTGATTCGCATATTTGCCTTGGATTATTCTTAGTAGATCGTGTGTGACTGCAGGAAGGAAACATGTTCTCCTCGGCGCTGAAGTCTCTGAGTTCGAACATCTCGGCGAACTACCAGATCTCTCCTCATGCCACCGTGGTTTCGGGGCCCTGGAAGATTCATGACGGGAAGAAAAAGTCCACTGGTACCACAGCATCTATCTTCATCTTTGACAAGAAAACACTTGACCTGCGGTCCAGTGGGCTGGGGAAAAGCTCCAGCTCCTCCACAAAGAAACTGCAGGAGGATGTTGTTGAGCGCCTGAAGCGGGAAGCTGGCAATCTGGCCCGACTCAGACATCCCTCTGTGCTTCAAGTCCTGGAACCCGTAGAAGAAACTCGCAATGGTGGGCTCATGTTTGCTACCGAACAAATAACCGCCTCTCTCGCAGGGCTTCTGCAAGATAAAGACATCCAAGAGAGTTCTTCACGAGGTGCCACCAGGTCGACGCGCTACATGGTGGAAGAGCCCGATGGGACGCGAAGGAGGAGAGACCTCGAAATCGATGAGCTTGAGGTGCAAAAGGGGCTGCTGCAGGTGGCCAAAGGCTTGGAGTTTCTCCATGAGTCGGCTGGCCTCGTCCATGGGAACCTAAACCCCGAGGCCATCTATATCAATGCCAAATCCGACTGGAAGATCTCTGGCCTTGGCTTCGCGGGTCCTCACGACTCTTCGGAGACTCGCTCTTCACTGCCACCGCTTGCGTTGTCGGAAGTCCTCTACCAGGATCCCCGTCTCCCGGCGTCAGTTCAGCTCAACCTGGATTACACGTCTCCGGACTTCGTACTGGATTCCAATGTGACCCCGGCTGCCGACCTGTTCTCCTTGGGGCTTATCATCATCGCTCTCTATAATTCGCCTCATGCGTCCCCGCTGCAAACCCACTCCAATGCATCTACATATAAGAAACTGCTCAGCTCCCCATCTACCACTCCATCACAGGGCAACAATTTCCTCAGCTCCGGTGTTATTCCGAGAGATCTTCTTGCCCACGTGCTGCCTAGACTGATTACCAGACGCCCCGCTCAGCGTCTGAATGTGCGCGGATTCCAACAGTCTCAATATTTTGATAATATTCTGGTATCAACGATACGCTTCTTGGAGTCGTTGCCCGCGAAGAATCCCAACGAGAAGTCGCAGTTTATGCGTGGGCTACAGCGCGTACTACCCGAGTTTCCAGTCTCGGTCCTGGAGAGAAAGGTTCTTGGCGCACTCCTGGAAGAGATGAAAGACCGGGAGCTGCTGTCTCTCATCTTGCAGAATGTATTCGCCATCCTCAAGCGCATCCCTAATGCACGACGAGTACTCCCGGAGAAGGTGGTACCTCGGCTCAAGGAGGTATTTCCAACTGGAAAATCCAGTAACGACCGTGATTCAAAAAGAGATGCTGGTCTTATGGTCGTGCTCGATAATATGAAGGTTCTAGCGGAGAATTGCTCTGGCAAAGATTTCAAAGAAGGTTGGTCTTTCCTTTCATTGCAACTCTAATTTAACGTGCTAATCGTTCAGACATCCTTCCCTTGGTACGACTGGGCTTGGACTCGCCTACTCATTCTTTGGCGGATGGTGCAATCCGATGCCTTCCTGTCATTCTGCCTACCCTGGACTTCAGCACGGTGAAGAACGAGGTGTTTCCACCGATTGCTGCGACATTCAGCCGTACAAGCAGTCTTGCCATCAAGGTTCGCTGTTTGGATGCATTCACTGTGCTTTGCGGCGGCTCTGTGAGGGAGGTAACGATCGAGGATGATTTGTCTGGCACGGCCCAGAAGGACAAATCGGTCAAGTCTTCCATTCTGGACAAGTACACGATCCAGGAAAAGCTCGTACCGTCGTTGAAGGCAATCAAGACGAAAGAACCGGCTGTCATGATGGCGGCCTTGAACGTGTTCCGTCAGGTCGGCACGATTGCGGACACCGACTTTTTAGCATTGGAAGTTCTTCCGGTCCTGTGGAGCTTCAGTCTGGGGCCCCTCCTGGACCTGCGCCAATTTGGGGAATTCATGGCTCAGATAAAAACCATTTCCTCGAAAATCGAGCGCGAGCAGACAAAGAAACTTCAGGAGCTCTCTTCGGGAGGGGGATCAGGCGGGTTCCAAAACGGTGCCGACAGCTCTTCGAAAGCTTCCCATAATTTGCAGGTTGATACAGATTCCACGCGAGATAACTTCGAGCGGCTTGTCCTCGGACGAGGACAAACCGCCCCGGCCGACCAAGATACGAACTCCTGGGGCGATCTCGTTTCCGGAACGCCAGCCACGCAAAAGCCTACTCCACAGCCTGCAACTGCAACTACTCCCTGGCCATCCAATACTGCTGGTACAATTGGTAGAGCTGACACTCCTTCGAAGCTATCCAATTTTAACGTGCGCTCTATTACCCCGGACTACAACCTGAGCACCTTCCCATCGTTGGAGCCGGCCTCGTCCAAACAGAAATCACCCAACCCACCAACATTTCCTGTCTTGCAGCCATCGTCGTCTAATTTATGGAACATGCCCCCTCCTTCGAACAGCCAATCTCCCAATCAGCTGTCACCCTCCCTAGGCTCACTGGCTAGCATGAAGACAACCGGCAACTCCATGTCCGGATCGATCTCACAGCCTGTGGCCCCTAACTACTCTGCGTTCTCAATCCCTCCCCCGCCGTCATCACAAACGACATCTCCGCCATTCACAAGTGGACTGGCAAATTCCGGAAGACCCCCCTTCGGTGGGAGCACGACGTCTAATTCGTTCCTGCAAACCAGTGCACCGCAAGCACAGGCGCCTCAAAGACAGGGGCTCGAAAAATATGAAAGCTTGCTATGAAAGCTTACTATGGAAGGGGGAGGAAACTGATGGATTGAACGAAGAAGCTTTGTTAAGGTTTTTGATCAAATTTTCTTGCTTCGCGATATTTCACATGCAGGAACCTTTGCTCTAATCTAAGAGCTCGGCATCTTTGAATATGCATCTATCTACTGACCATGCTTTATATCCCATTCTGTTTGAGCACAATTTGAATATCATGCAAAAGTTCTCTCTCCTGTTTATAACTATCCCACGAAGCGTGCAAATTTTCCTGACTGTATATCTTATATATCTATTGGATTCAACCCGGGAACGACCATGAATCCGGCATACCTAGTCTACCAAACATGAACACATTTTGGCCGAGGGAAAACCGAGTTCAAGGAATATATAGTCTGCAATGCTGAGGACTAGACAGGTCGTAACCTAATGCCCATACATGGGAAATAATGGTCTCCACTCTTGCCAAGCAATCCATGCGCAAGAACACCGGGCGAAGAGACGCGAAGCTCGCCTCGCGGGCCGACGTCGAGGTAAGGAGTCAAGTCGAGAGTCGAGAGTCGAGACACTCCACGATGCTCGCCCTTCGCGCTTTGAGGCGCTTGCCGTCGGGGCCTGTTTCTGTCTCGCTCCACCGCCCCTCGGACTCTTTACCCCTCAGTCGTCTCTGCTCTCTACGTCACACCCAACGTGCCTACTCTTCATCTCCTATCAACAACAGTTCCATCACCTCCCATAAAGACCTAACCATGGATGCCTCGATTAAACAGCATTACCTGGCTGATTCCCCGCCTACGGTAGTCCGCCTGGAAGTTAAATCTCACTTCGAAAGTCTGAAGGATGCGAAGCTAAGGAAATACGCACATTACATGAGCCGGTTCGCTCCCCATTTTCCAACCATCTTCGCGCCCTCCGGTTTAGTCTAGCTAGCTAACGCAAAACCGAACTTTAACCTCATTCTAGAGCTGCTTTCGAAGGCACTCGCATAACTCTACGTCAAGTCTCTCCCGAGTCCGAACCTATCTACGACCTCATCATCTCTTTGCACCGCGCTTGTGATGGAAATTGGCCTGAGCTTGCCCGTAAGACCGGGGTGAGTGACGAAAATGTCCGGTTCTTCTTGGAATATGCTGGCCAGTTCCTTGGGAACTGCGGCAATTACAAAGGATTCGGTGACTCGAAGTTCATTCCCCGATTGCCTTTGGAAGCTCTCGAAGCATTGGCTTCGATCACCCCGGAAGCCAAGGCTGCCTTTGAGAAGGCAAGCAGCGTCGGAGGTGGCATCTATGAAACCCAGGAACAATCGCTCATGCATCTCGGCTACCCGGAAGGCAAGCATATGACAACCTACTACCCCGACTCGCCGTCTATCACCAAGGATGAAATCACAGCCATTGGCGACATCATGGAGCAGAAGGGATTGCCCCTGGAGAATACGCGGTTAAGGAAGACCGCCTCCGGCGACTTCGAGCTACTGATTGCCTCGGGAGTCACTTCGCCCCCAGCCCGGGACAGGGATCTTGGCGATGTTGACTCCTTCGACCTGAGCGGAGAGTTGCAAGGAAAGAAGCTTCGTCTTGTCTTTGGAGATCACTTGGAACAGATGGCGAAGATTGCCCACTGCATCAAGCTCGCAGGACTCAATGCAGCAAACGACAACCAGAAGCGGATGTTGGACGCGTATGCGCGTTCGTTCGGCGCAGGATCGATCGAAGCATTCAAAGAGAGTCAGCGGATTTGGGTGAAGGACCAGAAGCCCGCTCTGGAAACAAACATTGGATTCGTCGAGACATATAGGGACCCTCACGGTGTAAGAGGCGAGTGGGAGGGATTTGTTGCTCTGGTAAGTAAGCACCATGTTCATGTGAGCGGTGTTAATATTAACTCGAATAGGTCAACATGGAGCGCACGAGAGCCTTCGGAAAGCTTGTTGACAGTGCCGAGACCATGATCCCCAAGCTCCCATGGGGCGATGACTTCGAAAAGGATAAGTTCCTCAGCCCAGACTTCACCTCCCTTGAGGTCCTGAGCTTCCAATCGTCCGGTATCCCCGCTGGTATCAACCTCCCAAACTACGATGATATTCGCCAGAACTTGGGCTTCAAGAACGTGTCCCTCGGCAACGTTCTCGGGGCCAAGGCTCCTAACGAGCCGGTCCCTTTTATTGCCGATAAAGATTTGGAGGTGTATCGCAAATGCCGCGATCCCGCGTTCGAAGTCCAGGTTGGTATCCATGAGCTTCTGGGCCATGGCACGGGCAAGTTGCTCCAGGAAACCGCTCCGGGAGAGTACAACTTCGATGTCTCAAACCCTCCTGTGAGCCCCGTCACAAACAAACCGGTGTCTACTTGGTACAAGCCGGGTCAGACCTGGAGTTCCGTTTTCGGAGCCATTGCCTCGTCCTACGAAGAGTGCCGCGCGGAATGTGTCGCGATGGCGTTGAGCTGTGATTTCGACATCTTGAAGATCTTTGGCTTTGGGGATGGAACTGAGAACCTTACGAACGAGGCCGGCGACGTCCTTTTCGTGGCCTATCTTCAGATGGCACGCGCTGGATTGGTCGCGCTGGAGTTCTGGGATCCGAAGACGCAAAAATGGGGACAGGCGCACATGCAGGCCCGTTACAGCATCTTGCGAACTTTCCTCGAGGCGGGTGGCGATTTCGTCCGGCTTTCTCATAGCAAGGATGATCTTTCGGACTTAGAAATTCATCTCGACCGGTCTAAGATCTTGAGCCATGGAAGGCCCGCCGTGGAGAAATACCTCCAAAAGCTGCACGTCTACAAGAGTACTGCCGACGTTGAAGCGGGCAAGAAGCTCTACGATGATATCACCTCGGTCGATGAGTGGTGGGGCACCAAGGTTCGGGATATCGTCCTGAAGAATAAGATTCCACGCAAGGTCTTCGTGCAGGGCAATACTATTCTGAATGGCGATGAGGTCACGCTGAAGGAATACGAGCCGACCATTGAAGGCCTGATCCAAAGCTTTGCCGAGCGTAATGTCTAGATTGGACCGGAGGAACCTAGGCCCCGTTGCGAAGGCAGGGAGCGCCTTCTGTCGGTCGAACGTTTTGAGAATAAATGAACAATTTAGCTATTGCACAAAAATATCTATCAATCAAGTTCTCCAAACCCCACTGTCTTCTGGAGGATGCTGCAGGCGTAGAATTTGACGGTCGACCTTTCCAGGGCTGTTTCCATGCGAATAAGGGTCCTGGGCGGGTTAGGGGTAAAGGGGGAGGGATGGAACAAATAATGTTTGTAGATAGAGAGCGAGAGAGGAAGAAAGGAAGGAAGAGGAAAAGGAAGAGAGAGAGAGAGAAAGCCGATACGGTAAGAGGGAGGGACAATAATACCACTAGCCGACGTTAACTCCAAAGCTTCCCGCATCGAAAGTCGCCCGCCGCCAATGTTTCTCTAAGCGCTTCCTTCCATCCTCTTCTTCTCCTCTTTCATCGCTCTTGCCTACCTGTTTGTTCGCTCCATCAACTCCCTCTTTCCCGAGGCCGCCGCATTTCCCCGCTATTCAAGTCGCAGTCGGCTTTGATATACCTCTTGCAGGTCTCTATCTCATGTTTTAATCAACCCTGGAATTACTTGGAGAGATCACCGATAGCTAGCCATCTGATCGACCCAAAGGAGCCCGGAGTCTAGGTCTCTTCCGATCACCTAGACGACACTCGCAGCTGAACACTGCGGACCTCCAACAGGAGTTCTCGGCCATACGCGCTCGCAGCGGATTCGAGACAACCCCCGACACCTTGTCGTGGCATCGAAGTACCCCTGGCTCGCCTCCCACGGCGCGGCCGCATCATCAGACGGACTCCGCAGTGGAGGACGACGACTTCTATACCGCGCCGCCGCCGCATTCCCCGTCCTCTGAGGCTTCTTCCTCTAGCCTTCATTCGTCCCGTCCCCCACCATTCTCGTCCTTGATCTTCCCCCCTGCGACCGATCCCAATCGCGCCAAGGAACCAGCTCCTCAGCCCCGGCTAGCTTCTCCGCCATCCGACGAGGAAGCACCTTTAGAACCGGACCCGTCCTCCGCATCTCTAGTCGCAGAGACCAAAGCTTCTTTCAGTTCCGATTCCAAGGGAGATTCCCCAGGCAAAGCAGCAGACGACGGAGAGCCCCCTCCTCCGTACACCGAAGGTTCTAGCCCCATCGAATCATTTACATACGTGATGGCTGCAGCAGGAGGCGCGTCGAGTATCATTACTCAGGTGCAGCAGGCCGGAGGGCCCCCGATCAATACTTTGGGAGGTGCGATACTTTTGTTCTTTGAGAAAATGTTCTGGCCAACTGACAATCGCCTTACGAATAGATATCGGCGGAGACGAGCACATTACTCTGGATTTGCGGTAAGGACTTTCTCTGCCGTTTCTATATTTGCGCTGTTCTAATATGATTACAGAGGGACGCGGTTCACGCTTTCTCGAGATGAACTCTTGACGCTGCCAGAATTCGTTCTTCTCTCCCTTTTCCCGAACGGTCTGCTTCCTGATGGGCATATGGGCACTTTCCATGAAGGCGACATCTACCCCGTTGACGTAAGCTACCACTGGAATCCTGTCTGAATCGTCTCCCCTATCGACCATGTCTAATCAAGATTATCGCTAGTATGATCCCGCCTCACTTCAATACATGCTGGACTTCTTTCGCTCCGTCGCCCAATCAATACCGTCGTCCTCGCCGTCCGCATCGACCTCGCCAGACCTAGACATGTCGGATTCGATGCAAGGGTCTGCCAGAGACATGCTACAGGACCGGGCCGGGATCATCGTCTTGCGCGAAGACCTCGATTTCTACGCGATACCGCCCCGCCCTGAGATCGACCACGCAGAGATGATGGAGGTCAAGCGTGCGGCAGCCAAAGCCCTGTTGAAACAGGACGGTATATTCTCCGGTCTACGGAAAAGCGACGAGGTTGGGTCGACTGAACAGCACCTAATCGAGATGCTTACAGCAGGGTAAGCCTAGTCTCTTCCGACAAGGTGAACGAGGCTTACATCATGCTAATGTTTACCAGTGGTTTTGACCGTGACGATCGCTGGGGCCATCGTGCTCCCGAACCCAATAAGGCGGTGATTTGTAGTCTGGCGCTGGCTAAACTTCGTACCGACATTCGGGGGGATCTGTCCAACAATAACGCAGTGGGTATGGCACAAAAGCTCCTGCTTTTCTGGAGGAAACCAGCAAGGAGATGCTGGTGGGAAGGAATCGAGCTGGAAAATGTGGATGGCATCGAGGGCAAGGTCAAGATATGGATCCGGAGAGTATGGACTTTGGAGATGGTAAGAGAACTGCGTCTATACCCAGGCATCCGAGCAAGCTAACCATTCGCTTTGGCAGAGTGTTATTGGGCTCCGATAGCCATAGGATTGATTTGGAGTCTTTCTTGTTTACTGTTTGCGCTTTTGTTCCCATCGATCTACTCTTTCTCGCGCCGTTCTCGCATTTCCGATCCACCCTTGGCCGATGCTAGACACATAGCACTGCAGCACATCTCTTCCTTCAAGGTTCTTTTCAGTCGATCTTTTGCGTTACTGACGATATCCCGGTTTACTCCTTGCGAATCTTCCGATGCAGGCAAAAGGGGAATGGCGTATTCAATTATTGGTGCTCGAATCATTCTGTTTATAAATTAGCATTGACTCTCTAAGTGGTTGTTAGTATATATATCACCGCTTCTGGCATAGTATTTCGTTTGTTCATTTCCCCCGGTGGACATAGTCTGTAATGCCTGCAGGCCGAGGCATGCCAGTGGTCGTTCATCACGTGACGTTATGGCTGGAACAGGACTAGTGCAAGCGGCGCTGGGAAAACGCGAAGAAGCAGAAAAAGGCGGAGCTCGACCGACCGCGATCACCGTCAGAGGCGCTTGGGCTGGATTCGTGCTTGCTCCAAACGTCGCTCGGGATTTGTCTACTTTTTTCGAGGTCGACGCTTCCAATAAGACAAGGCGCATTCACTTCTGACCCGCGTGTCATCCCCTCGGTCGCTCAAATTTCGCATTCTGTTATTCACCCTTTCATCCATCCCGTCGAACGCCCCCATCTATCCATTTATTTTGTTCGCAAATTGAAGCTCCTCAACCAGCGCTGGAAGGGACATGTTCCTGTCTACCTAACCAGCCAACATGTCCCCTCTTAGAGGCTATATCACATCTTACCCCCCGCGGGTGCGCCAATATGGGAACGCGCTTCTCACTCCTATCAACCCTCCCACTCAAGTCGGCCCTACGCCGCGCACGACGAAACGCGGAACCGCTGCCATCAACTACGCCGAAGACGGTTATGATGATGATGATTTTGATGACAGCGAGGGGCCTCGGCGGCCCACCGGTCTGAGAAGCCTCCGACGAGAAGAGTCGACTTTTGATAAAGTTCCCTTGGCGGAAAAGCTGGGGAAAGAGATCCATGCCCCAGTCGAGGTTCAAGGGGTGTTTCGGGATTGGATGATAAAGAGGATGCTACGGCCTGCGTATGTTTTTACTGCCCTTGGTCCGACTGCGGACTCTGGCTTGATATTCGCGAAATGAGCACTAATCCAGACCGTTTTCTCTAGTTGCGCGGACCAGCTACAGATCCAAGCACAGCTGCCGTTAACCCTCATACCGATTCGAATTGATTTGGAAGTACCGGCGCATCAACCGCTGGAGCCATTCCCCTTGCCGCGAACGGCCATAGACCCCGGGATCAATCTCACGCTGCCTGGGTATAGACGACCTGAGCCGCTGCCCGCCTATCGTATCAAGGATACCTTTCTCTGGAATCTTCACGAAGCTCTCGCAACCCCGGAGGAGTTTGCTGTCGGATTTGTTCGTGACATGGATCTCCCCAGTCCGCAGGCGATGACCATGGCGATCAGTAATCAAATCCGTCAGCAATTAGAAGAATTTGCCGGAGTTGCACTGCATCCGCTTTTCCAGAGTACACAGCACAAGCCACCCTCCGCCTCCCAGAATGGACTGTCGCGCGATGTGTCCATGACCCCGGCTCTGACACACGCGGCTACCCCCGATAGCAGGACCAATACAGTGACGGTCACCAAGGAAGCCCTGATCAACGACAGCCTTCTAAACCCCGATGATGCGTATCGGTGCATGATCAATCTGAACATAAACCTGCAGAACAAATTGTACACCGACAAGTTTGAATGGTCATTGCTGCACCCTCCCGGAATGGCCGAGGACTTTGCCAAGATCACTTGTGCCGACCTAGGGTTGGGTGGAGAATGGGTTGGTGCCATATCGCATGGTATATACGAGGCTGTCTTGAAACTCAAGAAGGAGGTCTGTGAAAGTGGCGGGCTCATCAGCGGTATGGGAGGATACGGGAACGAGATCGACAATCAAGCGGCGAATGGCGCCGAGGCCGGCTGGCGATATGACCCCGAAGGGCTTGGAGACGAATGGGAGCCCAAGGTGGAAACGCTATCGAAAGAAGAGATCGAAAAGCGAGAAGGTGACCGCGAGCGACAGATCCGCCGGTTACGGCGAGAGACGGCTCGGTTCTCATCTACCACCGGCATCACTCCAGAAGTTTCCCGACAAGGCAGTGGGGGCTATTTCGACATTGACAGCGAAACCCCATTGGGTCGAGGCGAGCGCAGCAAACGAAAACGACGCTTCCGCAGTATCAGTCCAGGCGCGAGAGGAGGCACCCCCGGTGGGCGAGGAACTCCGGATACCGGCTCAGGGGCTGGCTACGGTGGCGGCGGTGGTACACTCTCTGATTGGTATGTCTTTCTCCCCTCTTTAAAGCTACTCTGTCCCGTATGACTGACTTTGTTTGTTTTCTTTGTCATTAGGGAACGTCAGAACTGGCGATGCAGCAACTGTATGGTCTGGGGCACCGCGGTCTGGGCTGTCCGGGATGGGCCTTCCGGTCCTAGGGTAAGCATCTCTTACACTTGTCGCAGTTTCATTCTTTCTAACCCTTTGTCCAGACACTGTGCCACAACTGCGGTCTTCTCTATGAACGAGACAAGGTTGCTCCGGAATGGTCGAGGGATTTGCACCGGCATGATATCCCGATTGGCCGGTGACCACCGCGGCTTATTCCGTCTTTTGGAAGTAGTGAGATTGACCGATCCACTGGTCAACTCGCCCTGTTCCAGCTCGACCCAGTTCATGTACTTTTTTCAAACATGGCCATGATATTTCTAATGAATCCCTTATAGTCAATACTCGGCGCATTTGATGTGGTTTTCTCTTTCTTTCTTTGCTTTTCTTATTTCTTTCGTCTTTTTTTTAATGTACTTCCCTGAACCTTGCAGAAAACCTTCTCTACCGAATGTACTCTCGACCGATGAGTTGTCTTTCACATCAAATGTTTTTGCTGGCTCTTCAATCTTGAAATTATTCATGTTTTGCTATATGGGTCTGTATACTGATCACAATGATTGACAGGAGGGGATTTCTCTTTTTGTTTCTTTCTTATGCTGTTTATGGAGAACATGTATGGTTTTGAATGGGAGGTATGATTAGATGCAGTTAGTGTGAAAGGGCTGAAATAAAGGTGTTTCTTTTCCCCTACTATCTTATCGGACATATTGCGCATGAACCTGCGTTGAAGGTTCTGTGAACGATATATCTTACGGCAGGGCAGGTCTTCTATTCGTTTTCCAGGGCTCTTTGTTCGGTTCAAAAACCAAACTATATTTTGGTGGCAACGGAAACAAGCAAAACTAATATAGCGACGAGCTGTTTCATTCTATAGGGCTATTCTCAACATTATCCGTCCCCGGGGCCCAACTCTTATTAATGATGAACATGTCGACCAAGAAAGACGAAAGCAAAACAGGATAGATTATCCAAGGTGTGGATGAATTCATGTAAAACGAATGGAAAGAGAAGAGATTGTCTGTTCTCGGGCTCTAGGGCATGCTTGCTTGCTTGCTTCCTTTCCGAGAAAGAGTATTTGACAACAATCACATTAAGCAGTGGCGTTTGAAAGATGCAGAGGTCTCAGTTGGATCCTATAATTTTCGGCGGTTAGTAATGATATGGAAGAAAGAGAGAGAGAGAGGGGCGAGAGAGGAGGGAGAAACATTTGCTCGTCGTCTCATCGGCGGCTATTCTACGGGCGAAAGACAACGACGGGATATCAGGAAGGAAATGAGATAGGGAACTAAAGACTTACGGACTGAGATCGCTTCCTCGAGGATGTTCCTTCCCCCGATGCGTTTGGCCTGCCGACGAGCGGCCGATTAGCCCCCAAGCCAGAGCAGATGATGTTCCTGTTGCCCTCGATCCTGATGCCCGTGGTGATGTGGACCTCGACCGAGGGGGTCCGCGTTCCGTCGAGGACTCCCGTCCGATGCAACGCCGCGACGATGGAGGCTGCCATGTCCCCGAGTCGGGCTCGACGGTGCGGCGGCGCTGCGTGCCCTGTGGCGCTTGCAGTTGGGACGGAAGGTGCAGGAGACACGGCGGATGCGGGTCGGGATGCAGAGGAGGAAGGGATGACGAGGGAATTTTCATCCCCTTTGATGCTGAAGGATGAATCTATATAGGTCGCAATGGGAGGTTGTTCTTGCTCGTCACTCGCCACATCGCCCTCGAGGTCCTCGTGGGGGTCGTTCTGTTGGGTTGCCTTCGAGTATGGCGGTGGTGCCGGCTGTACAGGGTTCTGTACTTCGGAGAGCTTGTGCGAGTGATGGAGAATAGAGTCCGATGGTGGAATCATTTTGGGGGGTTGGTTCGTTCAGCTATGGCTAAATAGGCTGTCAGGATTGAGTACCAAGAGTGGTGGTAAGATGGATGGGAGAATTGAGGTAGTCGATATTTGTATTAGACTACCTATGTAGGGAGGAAATAATCCGGACAATCGATCCATGGTCATAGAAAATGTCTGCCTATAGATAGAAGTGGTAGAGTAGCACAAGGAAGAGTGCATCAATAGACTAGTCACCAACGACAATAGGATGATCAACCGATAACACAACACGGCAACCTCGCCGAGGCATTTGTTCGTGACCATTGGAATAAGAGGCCAATGCGAAGGGCGAGTGCAACGTTGCCTTGCCACAATGCTGCCTACCCCCCTTATTGACTGCTATTGTTCTCGTTCGTCTGAATAGAGTCACGTGCCGTGTCAATAGCGGAACGCCCTTCCAGCAAAGCAAAGCAAACGCATTCCAAACCCCGAACAAGCTTTTGGTTCCGATCCTTGCGCCTTGGCAATGTTCAACCTGGCACAAACAAGTAGGGGACGGACAGAATACAAAGAGATAAAGAAAGAGATAAAGAAAGAAAGAAAGAAAGAAAGAAAAGGGGGTATCAAGCTAGACATTTGTTCAAGCCCAACGATCGCCATACGCCAAAGTTGTATTATCATCAAACATCTCATCTTCCTTGATTCCATTGCCCACGGGGCGAGCGGAAGAATCACGCGCAGTATCTAGATAAGTTCGGATGGTCAGCATGCGTCTCTATTATTCTTCGAAACTATTGCACCGGGCTAACCTCTGTTGTTTGTTACGAAAGCGTAGTTGTGTTGGTCTGTCGAGACTGTGGCTCGTTCTTGCTTCGATTTCAGGCCTTCTGGATAGTGTTTGCCGCCAGGGTGTAAAGGCTGCAAAGTCTGGATATTAATTAGCGTAAACAATAGTCGGTGTCAAGTATTCGATTATACCAGCGTTCGTGCCACGCCAGTCGAAATCCCAATAAATCACGAACTGGTACTGACTTCGCGGAATTCGTCTCCTTCGACATGGACTTCGCGATCCCGAATACGGCGCATCAAGGCAAGGAAGTTACTTTCTCGAAATTTCTGGCTTTGGTCATGGCTGACACTCTCTAGTAAATGCCCTGCGGTCATAGCAAGCTCGTCCGCATCGTTGGCCCGCGCTTGCGTACCGTCGTTATTGGACTGCGGGATGGTGTCCGATCCGATTCTAATGACTTCGTGGGGCTCATTTGCGACGGGGGTGTCCGATTGAGCAGTCTTGTTGGTAGTTTCTTCCTTGTTTGCCTGGGTGTCTTCGACATTCTGTGACATCATGTCCGCACTGGCCTGCTCAAACGCGGCTTCAAACGCAGTTTCATCAAACGTTTCTGCTGGCGGTTGCTGGGTGGCCATGGTCTCCGCGGCGGGGAAAGAGTTCATGGGTGTTGCGTGCAGGGGAAAGCCCGGTGAAAACGACTGGAGGCCTGGGGCGAATCGCGGATGCTGGTGCTGGTGCTGCGGCTGTTGCTGCTGCATATGGGGGGCTTGTTGCTGTTGGTTCATGAACTCATTTTGCCACCCCTGATGGGAAACGGCGGGGGGACCCGTGCGTTGATCGAACGTGTGCGATGGCCCCGACAGCTGCAATCGTTGGAAGTCTGCAGCCCAATTTCCATGATCTGCGGGATGGGACACCGCATGGTGTGGAGCATGAGTACCGAATGGACCTGGTGCATGCTGTAAATTCGGAATTGACGGGCCGGCTGAATTGGACTCAAAGGCGGCGAACTCGGGGTCTAAAACTCCTTGACTGGGGGCTTGGGAACGGAAACCCTGCAGAGCCGAATGTATGAGTGTGAGATGTTCTCGGCTGTTCGGAAGCTACGAGTAGGACTTTACCTGTGTATGCGCTTGTCGCGAAACCAACCTATCCTGTTGGAGAGTTCTGTCGACAGAGGCATTCTTTTGGAAGTTTTGAAGAGCATTCGATGGACCACATAGTGAGTCATTCATGATGGTCAGATGTCACAAGCTGTGAGTTCCAAGTGAGAGAGCAGATTAGTGTATGAACATAATGTAAGACATGATGACGAGGAACGAGGGCGGGGAAGAGATGCACACACTGTCAGGATAGACACATAGAATGGAACGAAGGGGAAGGGAGAACGCTAGAGGAGAAGTTGGACACTCTGCGCAGCAAGAACAAGAATGGCGAAGAAATGAAGGCAAATGGGAGGAAGACAGGAGAGGATAGAGAGAGAGAGAGAGAGAGAGACCCGTGGGGTAAATCGACCGAAGCCGACCGAGGTCTATCTCACGTGCCAGGCATGACCCAACGTGACCGGACCGATAAGATAAGATTGCGCTAACGAAACAGACAAGCTGGCGGTGTTTTGCCGCTGCTCGTTGCCTGCCTGTCCGTTCCTCTTCGATCACCACCGCCTGCTTCAATCATTCCACTCCATTGCACAAGAGCAACTTGGGCTTGTGGGCTGCATCCTCTCTGTTTACTTGCTCAGACTTTGCTATCTTCTATTTCCACCCCCAAGGAGGTCCTCCAATTGGGCAAACATGGTGCGGCTCTCCTTTCAATTGGCTGTCAGCGCTGGATTGTTAACCTTTCCCCTCGAGGTCGATAGGCGGCTGCTCAGGTCATCTCGAATTCTGGACATGATGATATGATTGTATGTTAAGGTCTTGCCTATATACTTACCTCCGACGTCAATCATACGCCCCGATGCACCGATCCCCCTTTTACTGATTTGACCATCTGGTATAGCACGATGCTGGTCTGGATTATTACGGTCGACGATTGGCAACATGCTCGTCGGATAAGACAATAAAGATATTCGAAATTGAAGGCGAGACGCACCGACTAATTGAAACACTGAAAGGGTGAGCCTCATTTCGCCATGTGTGTCTTCCCCCTCCAGTCGCTGACCTTGAGTGAACCAGACACGAAGGTGCTGTGTGGTGTGTCGCATGGGTGCGCAATCCCTTACTCCTTTTTATATCCGGCTCGACGGCCTTCTACAGCGGTGCAAGCATTTACTGATTGAACTTCCCGTCGCATTCTGCAGGCCCACCCTAAATTCGGCACTATCCTGGCTTCTTCTTCGTACGATGGAAAGGTGCTCATCTGGCGCGAACAGCATCAAAACTCGACTTCCCCTGTGGCCGGCAGCTCCTGGACCAAAGTTTTTGACTTCTCTCTCCATACCGCGTCGGTGAACATGGTCTCCTGGGCTCCCCACGAGAGCGGATGCTTGCTTGCTTGCGCTTCCTCGGACGGCCACGTCAGTGTTCTGGAATTCCGCGATAACAGCTGGACTCACCAGATCTTCCACGCTCATGGAATGGGTGTGAATTCGATCAGCTGGGCCCCTGCGACGTCTCCTGGCAGCTTGATCAGCTCAAATCCCGGACCCGGCCAGCAGCGGAGATTTGTCACTGGCGGTAGTGATAACCTACTCAAGATCTGGGACTACAGGTACGTGTACCAAGCCAGTTTCCCCCCGTATTTTCCGCGCTGATGAGCATCCTCTTTGCAGCCCGGAAACAAAAAGCTACAACCTCACTCAGACCTTGGAGGGTCACTCGGACTGGGTTCGAGACGTTGCTTGGTCGCCGAGTATCCTGTCCAAATCCTACATCGCATCCGCTTCGCAAGACAAAACCGTTCGGATCTGGACTTCCGACGCATCAAACCCGGGCCAGTGGACTAGCCAGCAACTCGAGTTTGACACTGTCCTCTGGAGAGTCAGCTGGAGCCCCAGCGGAAATATTCTTGCCGTAGGCGGAGGCGACAATAAGGTTAGCTTGTGGAAAGAGAACCTCAAGGGACAATGGGAGAAGGTAAAGGACATTGAGGAGTAGACTTTTTTTGCTCTTTTCTCTTTAGTTTCATTCCCGATCATGCTATGTGTCTTCAAAAATAAGAATTGCCCTTTCGAAAGCCATTTTTCATGTTCAAGATAGGGGTGGTCTAGCTTGTATGAATAATTCCGTATCCTCCAAGGCGCCGCGTTCTCTTGCAAAGCATATGGTGGTGTATGTTGACAGACTCCTGCGGCCACCGATAGAATAGCAAAGGGCCCAGGTGTCTGGAGGGGGGCCGGCAATTATTCAGGATTTAACTGTGCGGCATGAGCCACAAGCCTATATATGCCGTTTAAATATGGATAAACATAACAGGACCTTTGCTGGCGGTCGAGGATATTTATATATATATATATATATTTATATACAAGATCAACTAACTTGGCTTTGGTCCGAGATGACGGTGGACAAAGTAAGTTTGATTTAGATATCCGAGGTGAAATGAATTATAAGGGGGTGGGAGGGCTAATTTCTTCAGGGATGTCGAGATGATACTGAGCAGGAGCATTCCCACCGACCACATGCTGGGACCAAGCCTCCCGGGATCGTAATCAACAAGTACATTGGGAGACCTTTGACCGATTCAATCGGCATATATTTCAATCCATGATACTGTGCATCTCACCTCGACGGAGTGTCTTGAGTCCTGGGAAGATCTTTATCTAGCCCCCAGCCGGCAGCAAGGAGCCATTTGACCTCCTCGAGACTAAGACCATTGAGTTCAGGGTAGATTGACCACACGCAGAACCAGCCCATGATACATATGACTGCGTAGACTGCGAATGTCCAACCAGGAGAGAGAAGCTCCATCATAGGCAGAAAGGTAAGTCCGACAACAAAATTTGAACCCCAGTTTGTCGCCGTGGCAATTGAAGACCCAAGTGAGCGAACATTGAGAGGGAAGAGTTCAGATTGCTGCCAAGGAACATTGCCGAGCCCAAATGCGTAAGATGCTGTGTATACTGTAAAGCAAAGAAGGACCACCATTGGTAGCAAGGAACCAGCCTGGGCAGCAATATTGCTGTCTGTTCTTGCTTGGAGGTCGGACATTTTCGGCAGTTCCAGAGAAGGAAACGCTAATGCGCAGGCAAGAAGAGAAATTATCATGAAGGGAATGGAATAGAGGAGGATGCGGCGCCTGCCAATCCGATCAATGAAGACAAACGCGAGCATTGTGAAAACAAAGTTGGTCATGGCCACTGATAGTGCAGCGAGTGTGGGTGAAGAGAATGAAAGAAGGGAGAATATAGTTGCCGAAAAATACATCAGACTGTTGAATCCGCATAGCTGTTGTAATCCTTGCAGCATCATGGCGATAGTTAGTGCTCTCCGGTTTCCAGGTGTGAGAAAGAGATCACGGGCACGCTGCGTCATGCTGTGCATCCAAGGCGAGCGAATTTGAGGCGCATCGTTGTAGATATTCAGCTCCTCTTCTTGTTCAGCTATTTCCCGTTGTATATCATGCAGAACCTGCTTCGCGACGCGTTCTCTGTATGGGTGGTCTTGATATACCTTCATTAAAGAGCGTATAGCATTGGTTTCGAGCCCAGCTTGCGCTGACCAGCGTGGGGTTTCTGGTAGCACAAGTACGATTCCAAGCTGCAGCACTGCGGGTACCATTCCGAGTCCGACAATCCAACGCCAGCCTCCAGGTACAGATGAGAACAGCCAGCCAATGATATAGGCTATGACTTGCCCCCCGGTGATCAATAGGCAGAGGATCGTAACTAGTCGTCCTCGGGCATGCGGTGGTGCCAGTTCAGATATATACCTGTAGAAAGAACCGGTCAGGGCATATTCCTTCCATCTAGAGGATGCACAAGGGCCCAAACCTACAATGGAGTCACCAAGCTAGCACCGCCGACAGCCAAGCCAACAATGCTCCTCCCAATTATCATGCCCGATACTTCGCTGGTAGCGGCCTGTAACAATGCACCGAGCGCGAACAGTGCATCTGCAACCAGTATGACTTTCCGACGGCCGAGCCTGTCGGCCATGACTCCTGCAACCGGGCTTGCAATCAATGCAAATAAGCTCGTGCAAGACGTGATCAGGCTTTTGTCCAACGTATTAAGGGGGCGATGAGATAGATCGGAGTGAATGGACACGAGAGTGGACGAAATAACCCCGGTGCTTTAATGATATAAATGTCAGCTACCTAAGTAAAATTGCAGCTTCAACTGGTGACGGTGACACTTACTCATATCCAAACAAAAGTCCACTAATCCCGGCTGAAAATGTTAAGATCCAGATGAACCAGCCTCCCGAGTATCCTAGCTCCAAATCCGGGGTATGGATATCGTCATCATGTTGATGCGAATGGCTAGTGACAGCATCGTTCGAGAGCAAGGGGGCATTCGCGTCCGAAGGATCATGTTCCGTCATGATTTTAAGGTTCCTCTGCTTCTATCACAACATCCGCGCTCATTCCATCCCCTCAGACAGTTGAACAGGGACACGTGGCAATTGAGTTTCAGAAAGACAGGAACATCCACAAAAGAAGACAAACAAGAACCAACACAGACAAGCATGTAGAGTCGGACGGGAGCCGGGGAAAGTACAGAGTACTACAGAAGATGGTACGGGATAGATAAGGATAACCGATAGACGTCCAGCCCGGGGCGGTGGCGCTTGGCAGTCCACCCACGGGACCGACCCACTTAACCTACTCCGTACAACAGATTATACTGAGATTCATGCGTGATGAAATGAAGTGATGAGGTATTTCACATTGACCACCAGCCTAAGGGCTTATTCCAGAGATAGATATAACGACCAAGGAACGGTCTGATTAGTGGGCTACCGCAACACCAGCTTCATTGGCCTGCGCACTGATCTTTTTCTTGTAGGCATTGACAGTGCCATCGAATTTCTCCACCGTGCCGTTGTCACACACCCAGAGACTAGTGCAGACATTCTGCAGCATCGTCACGTCGTGAGACACCATGACAACACCTCCTTCAAAGTTCTGTAAAGCTTCGGACAATGCGTCCATACCTTCGATATCAAGGTGATTGGACGGTTCGTCGAGCACGAGAATATGAGGGTTCGTCAAGGACAAGCAGGCGAAAGCGACACGAGATTTTTGACCTCCGGACAGGAGTTCCATTCGCTGGAGACCTGTCATGCCAGTGATACCGAAGCTAATCAAAGGAAAGCCAAACGTTAGTCGCCCTTCAACCAGGTACGATTTATATCAGGGGATGGGTCTCAAACGTACGCGCCCAGATGTCTCCGGTAGTCCTCATCCGTCTTTCCAGGGTATGTCTTTGCCATGAAGCTCACCGCACTAGTAGTGAGATCCAACGCATCCACGTGATGCTGGGCGAAGAATCCAACTCGCAGCCTAGCATTTTGCGAGATAAGACCAGAGGTGGGTTGGAGCTGGTTTGTGAGGAGCTTCAACACAGTTGTCTTACCGGCACCGTTAGGTCCAACAATGCCGATACGGGAATCAAGCTGAACGTCAAGGTCAACATTCTTAAGAAGGGGGCGGTCTTTGGTATATCCAAAGGCAACCTCGGACATCTGCACAATGGGAGGAGATAGTTTCTCGACCTCTGGGAATTTGAAATGAACCACATAATCGGCCTCGGGGGCTTCCAAGACGGGCATCTTCTCGAGCTTTTTGATTCTCGATTGTGCCTCGGACGACTTGGCCGCGTTGTACCTGAATTTGTCGATAAACGCTAAATTGAAGTTGTCAGTCTGCTTGAACAATTGATTGATATATGGGGTACCGCACCTTGCAGGTGTGCCCGTTCAGCCATCTGCTTCTCGTATTCACGCTTCGCATTCTTCTTCCTCTCCTCCTTCGTCGCATAGAAGGAATCTGTGAAAGTAGTTAGCTCGGGTCTATCGACACCATGACCGCAGGAAACTCACCGAAATTGGCGCCCTTGTAGTAATCGAGTCTCTCGGAGTGCTGATGCATGATATCTGTAGCAACCTCGTTCAAGAAGGCTCGATCGTGCGAAACCACCAGCACGGTGCTAGGATAAGACTGGAGATAATTGGACAAGAACGTAATGGACGGAACATCCAACATGTTGGACGGTTCTGTACAGAGTTAGGCGTTTCCAGTAAGGACATGAATAGGTGAAAAGAAGGCCTACCATCCAGCAGAAGTAAGTCTGGTTCGCAGAACAAAGCTCGGGCGAGAGCCAATCTCATACGCCAACCACCAGAGAAGGTCTTCGTCGCAAATTGCTGTCTTTCAGGCGAGAAACCAAGACCCGCCAAGATACTGGCCGCACGAGACTCTGCTTTGTCCGACTCCATCTCTGCAAGCTTGGAATGAATATCACTCAGGGTGATATCAAGGCCCTCTCTCTCATGATCCAGTCTGGCTGCATCTTTCGAGGTGTCTGCCATTGAGGATCTTTCCGCTTCGAGGGAAGCCAGCTGTTTCGAGATTTTCTGTGGTAGAAGGTTAACACGCATATGCAGGCAAAGTCGATAACAGAGATGGGATACTAACATCTTGATCGGCCAGCAGGCGTTTGCGCCACACGTCGGCATCCAATACTGCTTGGATGGCAGGGGTATCATCGCCCATGATCTAAATTAACAAGGTCGACGTTCAGTTATGGGCTCGTTGGAGAGAGACATTGGGGGAGGGAAACAAGTGACCTACTTCTTGCTCGACGTGAAGAATTGATATATGGCTAGGAACAGCCACCTCTCTGCGGCTCAACGCCCGCAGAAGGGTACTTTTACCGATACCGTTTTGACCCACGAGACCATACCGACGCCCATAGGCCAGAGTAAGAGAGGCATCAGTTAGGATACGGAGGCCACCGACAGAAATATCGATACTGTCGACCTTGATATCCTTGCTCTTGGCCTGTGAGTCGGAACCCAACTGGAGAGGATTGACAGCCATAAAGAATTCTTCGTAGGACATGGTACTGTCCGGTTGGTTCAGAAGACGTGACGATTCATACTGCACGGTCTTCATTTGTTTCTTCTCCTGCTTGGCACGAATCTTACGTTCTGCCTTCTCGAGCTTCTTTCGGTCTACACGAGACTCCACCTTCCTAGAGTTGGCGGACTCCAGGTCCACATTACCTCCAGCAAGGCCTAGAGTCGAGGAAACGTTCCTCTGGGAGCCAACGTTGATGGCCTGATCCAACTTTTTGGCAGTGAATGGCATCTGCCGGCGCTCCCCGTCGACGTCATCAGAAGCGCTCAGCGAAGATATGAACTTCTCCACTAGGTTTCTAATAGAGCTTTCATTCTGGGGTGAGAAATCTCCCGAGGCGGAAAGCAAAAGCTCGGTAACCATATCAGCAGCTTCCGATATAGGGGACGGAGCGTTAGCGTCCTCGACGTAAGCCTTCGAGGCATGGGTCAAATATCCCTATAATCAATTAGGCCAAACTCATGATCAAAAATTATTATATGCATATGTATCACCCGGGCCCTTACCACAGAATACTCTGAGATCACATGGTCAAGACCAGGAATCTGTGACTGGAGTTCCGCCTCCATTTTTAAAGAGGTATCTAGGTGGCACGGGCTCTAAGAGATGGCAGAACGGTTAGGGAGGGGAAATAGGGAAAAAAAATTGTGTGCAATAATTGTTTAGCTCACAAGAGACAGTATACTGACAAAGCAGCGCTCTTTACTAGCTGTTGCACAGCCTAATTTCTCTAAAGGGCACCAACTTACCAAGACAGAGAGAGAGTCGCGGGTTTGTGGAGTTCAAGCGGTAAAAATGGTTTAGATGCCTGAGGTTAGTAATTGTCAGGTTTGCACTCGCCAGCCGAACGGTTCTTCTTGTAACTATCCCTTCCGATCAAACTCATTGCCTGTAGACCCATTGTTGACTATGTATTGGCGCTACCATCTTCTTTCTTCCATTCATTTTATCTTGCTAATTCTTTTGCGCCAAAATCCCCAAAGCAACTTGGGCTAGTAGAATTCAATCGTGTGTGTACAATTTTTATGTACACAGTTAGATCTCGCTGAGTAAGGGAGGGGACGATTTTGCCGCTCACGACCGCCACAGCTGTTCTCCTCGCAACTACTCATACTCAGTTGGTTACCAGATAATGGATTTAAGCTCGAAGCTGTTAGCTGTGTAGTACCGCTACGGAGTATATACACGGTTGGTTAGGTTCGGACTTCAGAATTAAGGGCAGATAGTAGGTACTAGCTGTTAGTCCGGCGTACTCCGTAAATCTCTTAAATTATGACGATGATCCGATCTAGCAGACAAAGAATGCGGGCCCCTACGATCACGTGAGAGGGGCGGTGAACGTGTTGGCCTTGCTTGACGTGGCTTGCGGAAGAAATTCTGGATGGCCGACAAGTCCAATTCTGACCTCCCGGGTAGGCTTCAAGTTTCAAGGTTTTACCGATCTGTGGAGTTGACTGGACGAGAGACCCCGGTCCAAAACATGACCGAGAGACTTGCAGTTGCAGCAGCAGTCCACGTTCTCCTCCAAGAAATCGGATCGATCACAGGAGATCGACCCCGGGCGCTGCCAATCACGAGCGTCCTACAGCATCAACGACACACTCCGGACGAGACAAACGGTTGGCACAATGGGCAACCGCCCGAGAGCGAGTGGGTAATCGGAATCCGGTCCCCTGTCGTCATCTTTTGGGGGGCGCGGGAATTGGTTCCAAGGACCCAACCCGAAGCATGGGAAGCTAATGACCAACTAAATTGGATAAACCCTCGCAAAGCTTGGAAACTGGAGCATCCCGGCCGTTCCCTCGACGGCGATTCCTTGGAACGCGCGGTTGCCATGATTTATGATAGATTAACGAATATCTTGTTTGGCAGGCTGCCTACAGAGCACGGTTCTGATTCTGATTCTGCTCCTGGTTTATTTATTTACCGAGTAACCAGTAACCAGGGAGTAACTAACTAGCTCGCTAGTTAGTAGTAACCTAGGGAGGATTCTCAGCCAGCCCGGTCTGCAGATGCTGACTATCAAGTGGGGGATCGGGCCAGCCGCGTTTCAGCCAGCGCTTAGCTGTCCAGCGACGGATTACGGAGGGCAATCGAATCGAAGACGATAGTTTAGACGGCCGGAGGGGCCAGGGCGGGTTCTAGAATTTAAATTATCCTCGATAATGACTGGTAACCGGTAAGGGTTCATTCTACCTAGTAGGTCATATCTATCCCCGTATCCCTTGAGAGGAGGATCTATCATTCTGTTTATCAAACGATGACGATGAATCTTACAGTCTTACATAACCTCAGCCAGCACCCGTTCGGCAATCCGATCATCTCCAGGGGATCGTGCACACTAAGTCATTTAGTATGGCCGGATTTTAAAGTGCGAGATTGTGATGGTTCTGGGATTATCTCCCTTCGCTCTCTTTCTCCCTTTTTTCCCTCCCTTGTTCCTTATCAATAATTCTAAAAGAAACTAGAAGGGAAAAAAAAAAGGGAGAGAGAACCTCCCCCTAGGGAGTCCTGCCATAGTTACTCCCCAAGAATATCTACACCGACCTACGAACCCGCCTTCTGTACATAATAATAACGATACTAATATTGTAGTCCTGTTATATCTCCGTCCGTCGTGCTTCCAGAAGCCTCACTTCGACTGTTGCGTATCCATACGGAGTAGAGCTAGAACCTTGTTGTACTCAAGGAGCATTTATCCTCCATTTCCTTACCTCTTCCTCTTCATCTAATTTCCCTCGTACCTTGCGGTGGTGTGCTGGGGGTGGGAACCTCCTAGCGTGACCCATTCATTCCTCTCCAGTTAGTTTTTAGTCTAGTTTAGTTCCGACTCGAACCAGACGAACATCGCCCGTGGGAAGGAAAAGAAGGTGGCCGCCGCGTCCCACTCGCTCGCTCTTCTCGCTCTCTCTCTGGCTGGCCTTGCTTGGATCGATGACCTCCTCGTCTTATTATTTTTATTATTGTTGTTGTTGTTGTTTTTATTGTTGTCTTTCTGCTGCTTGCTCTGCATAGCTAAACTCGCAGCAGTCAGTCAGTCTTCCTTTTTTCCGTCTGCGACTGTCAGTCCGAGCTTCAGTCGCCGTTGTAGTCGTTTCTTTTCTTCTTCTTTTCTTACCTTTTTCTTTTTTTCGTGTTCTTTTTCTACTTTTGTAATCCGGTCTCCCTGTCTTTTCCTCCTTCCCCAGCCCTTGACTACATTCCTTTCGGTCTTCCCTCGACCTTCCCCATTCCTTCGGTGTCCTCTAAACACCCTTCCCTCATCCTCCCCCTCACCTGCAGAACAACCATTCACGCAATTTCGCATCGCGCTTGTTATTGAAGACAAACCCACATTGCCCCCCGTGCATTCTATTCTTTGCTTCGCTTTGCTCTACTCTGCTCGGTGTCTTTCTTTATCCGTGGTCCTTTCGCGAAGCATCAAATCTAAGCATTTGCAAGTCGCATTTATCTAGATGTGGCGAGCCAGCTAATTTTCCTTGTGCATCATAATGCAGATGGGATGCCAGTTACCTGTATTATCGATGTTGCTAATCTAAGCTTCATGGTGCTTTGTTATTATTCCCGGCGCCTATAAAGATGGAGCATGTGTCAACGGTGAGTGTCCCTAACGATTTCTGTCCATCTGTGGTCTCAAAGGGCTAGAGGAGAGGGCAAAGAACATAACATGGCCTTTGAGGGCCCGGGTCTGCTCTGCTCTAGTGGTCGCTTTGGTACGTGATAGTCCGCGGAACTGACAAAGATTCTCAGCTATGTGCAACTAGCACTGTTGGTATTGCAGCAGCCGGCCTTGCTCTCGGTCGCGTCGACCGAGATCCCCCCAAGCTCGGACGATTTCGGAAAAAAACCTCCCCTCTGCATAATCAATGCGCGCATACAATAGACTCGCCCGAATCTCCGTCATCTAATAATGTACGCCCGATATCTCTTCAACCTGCGGTGGCGACGGAAGATCCCTCCGAGATCCCTAAGTCCAGCCCCGGAAAATCGAATGGCACGCCCAATGAAGACCACCCTGGATCTATGATTTCGCGGAGGAAATCTTCTCTTGCAGGGATACTATTACGTCGCCGCGGTCAAACCTTGTCAAATCCACCGCTGCGCATCGTGGAGGATTCCTCACCGGCCTCCCATAGCCGGCGACCGTCCTCGTCCTGGATGCGACGCCTATCATTTCAACCTGAGAACCGTTATTCTTACCAACCCCCTCATTCTCCATCAATAAACGGCCCTGCGAGCCCAGGGCTCGGTTCTTCCGGCCAGCGTCGAGCGCCGAATAAACTTGTTAAGCGACCTCCATCACAGCACGCCATTCCTCTCTTCCCCCACGCCCCTCCTTCCCCATCTGCATCTGCACTACGCAGACCGGCGACGAGCTATCAACGGCGCGAGACTGGGGGACACAAGGCGACTCAAAGTCTGTGCTTCGAGCCCGGTTTGGCACCCGATTCTGCAAGCCAGGCTCCGGTCGGACTCTCTACAGACAATGGGGGTTGGCGGCCATATTTGAACGCGGACCCTACCGTGCTGTCTGACAGACCGATTCGCAGATTCTCAACCACAACAAAACCCAAGGACCAAGGTCTACGGCGAATTATCCCTCGAGCGGACACTTTTCCGGCTTTGCTCCTGGCGACTTCTCTGATCAACAAGGAACATAAACAGAGTACTCGCCACGAGGAATCTGCCCATAGCTCCCCAGTCGAGTTTCGCAACCCATTCAAGCCCACCCAAACTATATCTTCGGAATCGGAAACGCATTCCTCGGCAGAGACCAAAGGTCGTCAACTGTCGTTGGCTGGTGAAACAGATCCTAAAGCGTCAGCACCAAGCCCGCGACTCGTGGACGGCTCGGCACTTAATAATGGCTCTCTCGCGCATCCCAAACGCAGAGCGATCTCTTCCCCTCTACCCAACCTATCCAAACTGGAAGGAGCCCCCTTCCCTGCTCAACGATCGAGACGGAATATAACTGACCCAACCGTCTTCGATCGTCCCCACCATTCTTCCCGGGTGGAAGCCTTCCTGCCACTAACCTCGGGAGTCATGGCGCCACGAAACAAAACAATTCCCCGTTCTCGTGCCAATACAGGTCACTCTCAAGACATCGGACAATATCCGCTTCCATCAGACACGATAGCTTTGTCGAGTTTGTATGGGTCTATGCGTCTTCGTTCTAAGCGACATTCGATCGCTGCCTCCGATCCCGCCTCCACGGTTATCGGATCTGATGATACCCGTATCTTCACATCTGGTGACGAAGACGACACGGATTTTTTGAGTGACACCGCTTTCGACTCCATTCGCACGCATCTTACGACTAATAGTACCGCTGGTCTCCAGGCGCCCCGGATTGAAGCCATCTTTGACCAGGGTACACCGTCATACTGCAGAAATTCGGAGTCAGGCAAACCCGGCGATTCCCATCAAACCAGCAGTCGTAATCCCCAAGCCATGAAAAACGGCCCTCATGATCTCGGTGAAGATGTAGCTTCCATTCGCTTCTCTACCCAAGGTATCCGAGAGGCTGATGGCCTGGGGGATGGCGATAGCAAGATTTCCTTTCCATCCGACCTTACTGACGATGAGGATGCTCTCAGCCTTGTCGCTGCGTTACCCGGGGAAGCAGGGGAGCAGATTCTACAACCTTGCGATTCGCCAAGAAGAGCAGCATTCCCTCTGCGGATCGCCGGAACAAATGCGCGGGACTTGACTCACGAGTCTCTGGAAGCTTATCCGAGAGTAAACATATTTGACTGGTCCGAACAGCCAAAAAACGATCGTGAAGCTCCAGGGTCCGATGGTCGACCACGTACCGTTCACGGCAAACACGGGCCTGAGGCTCGGGGAAGCCGTCCCCACGGGCGGAAGGCGCCAAGCACGTTGCATCTACGAAGTCAAAGTGTTCCCGTGTCAAGGGAGCCCCCGACGACTAATGAATCACGTCAAACATCCGGCAAATTTGGAACTTGGGGCCTGGGGAGTAAAGGGGTAAGCGAGGATTGGGATAGTGACTTCGAGTTCGAAGATGCGGACGACAGCACCGCCAGCGAGGGTATTAAGCCGAATAGGAATCCCGATGTTCCGCAGCGTGGTATGCTAGTGCCCCAGGCGATAATGGACCGGCAAGCGAGTCTCCATGGGCAATTTGGACAGGTGCAAGAGTTGACCCTGTTGGTTGAAGAACTCAAGCGCCTTCGGCATCAAGCTAGCTTTCTCGGTATCGTCCGTGGCCCGTCGAGTGAGTTATGGAAGGAAGCAGAGGGTATAGTCGACCTTGCCACACTTGATGATGAGGACGCGAATCCTTCCCCTCCCGGATCGCCCTCTTCTCTTACCTTCAGTTTCGATGATTCCGAGGGCGAATCCTCAACAAATGACACCTTCAAGCGGGCGAGTGGAGAGTCCTGGCAGCCTTCTTTTTCAGAGCACTCAAACTCCATTCACTCTCACGCGGCGGATGATAAGGAAATCCCCGCCAAGGCCAATTCCGTGTTAGATTTGATCTATCGACAACGAGTGTCCCCGGACCCGGCTTTGAACGAAGCTCAATTGCCCAAATCCAAAAAGCTCCCCTTCGATACGCAGTCTCTCCGCGACCTCGTCATCCGCGCCGGCGTTGTCACTCGTGCTTTGAAAGATGTGATCCGCAAAGCAGAAGGGGTTGCTATCGACCCCAACGAGATCATACACACACCCAACCCGCCATTCAGTCGGATCTTCAAGAAACCCTCCAGTGAGCAGTTGTCGAACTTTAGGACTCGCTGTGCTGCTTGAAGCCGCTCCACCCCCGCCTCAATTTTCCATTGTGAACTAACGACGATTTCATTCGTGTCCACATCCTTCTTATTTCCTCTGTATTCTACAAATACCTAACCGCCCTGCACTGGTTGGTGTCTGGGTGTACGAGATGACCTGAGAAACCAAAAAAAGCCCACGTTCTCATGGACTTCCCTCCTTTCACTTCTTTTCCCGCATATTTTTCCTTATTGTCTTTATTGCCATTGTTGGGAAGCTGTTGCTAATGAATCTGGTTGTCAGAAAAGAATTCTGTTTTGTACAGGTGCAATTGTTGGTGTATATTCTCTTTATGACTTGTGTTTGCATACTTTGGCGGTTCTTGTGTGAGCATTACAATGTTTGGCGATCTTTGTCGCTCTTCTTTCCTTTTTCTTTCTGTTTTACAGTCATGCCCTCCCCGGCTAGTCTTTGCACTCGGCTGGTGGGCAATGGTGTGGCCATGCGCTATTATCTTGCATTTGGAAGAGAACAGCACATGGGACATCGGCGTGCACTGCAGCATGAGCATTGATGGGTCAACTGATATGACTTTAAGCCCAGTAACGCATAGAGGAGACTAATATGATGAGAAATTTTCCATGACGCGTTAGGTCAACTGTTTTTTCCCTTTCTAATCGACACGACGTTGGTTCATATACGGCCAGATTGTGTAGTCAGTACGGAGTAGATCCTGGGTATGTAACTACATCCATGTGAGCCACGTCGTATCACCATTTTATATTTCCTGAATTCCTGATGGATTGTTCTATATCTACCGCGGAAGTCGTCTACCCCAAACAACCAGGGCCTGTCCCTTGCCATTGAGTGATCACTACTGATTACGGAATAAGGTATCAACTTGTTAGTACTACGCAAGCGGCGTACTCAGTAAGGAGGTACTGTAAGTCTGTAACCACGGGAGTACGATACTTGGTAAGTGTCTTACCCGGTCCCTTGCACCCCACCAACTAACCAACTAAACCGATGGTCCGACAATGGCAGATTACGGATTGGATGGGGGCCATGCGGGTTCCTGACACTAAAAGAGATTGACGCCCCACCTGCCGTGCCGGGTTTTTATTCAGGGGATGGCAGGTATCGCTGTACTCCAGAGATGTCGCCTTGCTTTTCGATGTCTTGATCTGCTACTCCCTGACTTGGATTGGTGCAGGGTACTACTGAGTGCTTCGTATCCGTATATTGATTGTTTCCCTAGGATGGGTGGAGTCGGCTGTTTACAACCCTGGATTTAGATTAATAGAAGAGGGCCTGAACCTACACCAAGGCCGTACCTGCATATGGTAGGTTCATACAATTCATGATTATTGGAACCTCTAGGTAGGTAAGCACAGCCCTGGCCGTTTAGACCATCGAGGGCAAGTATCTGCCACGCCATACTCCTTACCACTTAGTAGGACTAGGGGCTGAATCCTCCATAGCTAAATCCTATCGTCCTATCTAGGTTAAGGTGTCTACCACTCGACCGTATGCCCCCAATCTAGGCTTGTCAGGCCTCCCCACATCGAGTTACAACCATAACAGACCATCTAGACCGCTAAATCGCTGAATCGTTTGCTTATGTAGCCTAGGCTCCTAGCTCCTCTCCCTCCGTCTTCCCTCTCTCCCTCTCTCCTCTTCTCTTCCTCCCCCCATTTTTATCTCTCCTTTTCCTTTTTTTGTTTTATTTCATCACCACTCTTTACCTTCCTTTTGCTCTGTTTTCCCCCTTTCCGGCATCTGTTGTTTTTTTTTTATCTTCTGCTTTCAATTCTTTTTTGGTTTCTTCTTCATTTTTTTTTTCTTAAATTCCGTTCCATCTTTTATAGATTTTTTTCCAGGCCAAGCCGCTGCCATTCATTAGGGGAACTCAGGCATATATTCATTCTTTCAAATCGCAAGACCGCATATCAACTCAATTCCATCATTCCTTGACTAGCAGCCGTCGCTCTTTGATCCAGTCAACCGATAACATATCCAACTAATTATCTCCCGAAACAACTTGACAAGACCCTGCTTTCTCATCTTAAATGATCCTCAGGCATCAACATTCAGGGGTTGACTTTTTCCTTTCCGTTCGACTTCACTAGCAAATCCAGCGCTCGTCATATTCAAACTGTTTGGGCTCCATTGGAGTCTCCGACTCGCGATTCATTCGTAATCACAAGTCAGGACGATCATGCACCATCACCATCAACATCAGCAACTGCCACGCCATGGCATGCATATGGTTCGCCGCCGGGGTAGCATCCCTCACCTCCGACAACCAATTCTCCTGGGCCATGAAGCCCCGACCCTGGTAAAAAGGGAACCCATGCCTTCCACAGAAACCGGCAGCTCAAGTACACAGACCTGTGGATCAGGAGACAACTCTGGTAGCTGCGAAAAGCCCACCAGCACGACAACAACCACTACGTTACCCGTTGTCCTAGGAGCAGTGTATGTTACGGAATTACTTGACCTGCTCGTTTCCGCCTCCTTCTACCCCGCCGCGGCTGACCACCTAGCAGAGTTCCCATTGTGTGTGCCGTACTGGTTCTGATTTATCTCCACCGACGCAATGTTAAAAAGCTCAGGAGTGAAGATGCCAATGACAAGCATAAATCCCTCGATTTCGGATTGGATTTGGGGCCTACTGCGGGCGGAAAATCCATGCGCCAGACAGAAAAGCCAGATGCAGCATACAACCATGCCAAAGGAGTGTCGCTGGATATTGGGCCAAGTCCGTACCTGCTTCCCCCGGGCCTCCAGGGATCCAGGGAGTCTCTCCACTCTCTTTCAAGGACTATCGGCGTGGCGGATGACAAATACCGCTCTGCTACGTATGCCCCAGGTGACAGTGTATCAGTCAGGTCGCATCAAAGGGCCTTGCACGACGACGCCTCGAGCTTCGCAGGCTCGACTGGAAAAGGTGCCCTGGGCGAAGATATGAATCAGGGCCTGCTTCGAAACGCCCAGAGAATGTCCCGCTCATCTCCGCCGTTATACAATTCCCCCCCTGCCGATCATGGCACAATTGGTAATCATCCGGAACACGACCTTGGCTTCCAGTTGGACCTACCAAGAAGTCCAAGCCCCGTCCTCATCCCCGGTGCTCCAACAATCAATGAGCCAATGGACATTGCAGGCGGTGCCAAGAATACAACTGCCACTGGCTCAAGCTATGAGAACACCAACGCACAGACAACCTCAAACAACGAATCCGCTGGCTCGCATTCAGGCGATCTTGAGATCAATGGTGCGCTGAAGCCTTCTGTTCCAGCTGTGAATATCCATGGAGTTGCGGATACCCCGGGATTCGACCCCTCAGCCTCGAATGCACCTTCTGAGGACGTGGCCCGCTCTCAGCGTCTCAGCGTGGACCCTCGCCGAGAGACTCGCCGGATGACCCTCGGCCTTCGTCCATTGCCTCCGGAGGACCCCTCGGACAACCCCGAACAGCGCGCCAATCGGATCCGGTCTTTCTACAAGGAATATTTCGACGAGAGCAAGACTGGAAGGGAGACCACCTACTACGGAGATTTCGGCCCGGAAATGTACCATGACGATGGCTACATGTACGACTACGATCCAGTTCCCGCACCGTTTGCGGAGCCGGTGACTCGTCGCGCTATGACCCCACCGCCACGCGCGCCTCCGAGATTCCAAGGAGCAAGCAGGCATATGGCATCGGGTTCGGTCAGCGGCTTCAGTGAACGTTTTGGATCCCCGGGTCCTCGGGCCTTTTCTTCTGCCTCTAACCGGATGCCTGGTCCTCGCGCACCACGCAAGCCCGCTCCGCCTCCCGCTCCCCTTCAGATTCTGCCCACCCCACACATGTTAAACGATGATTCTATCCTGGGAGCCATTGATTATGCACCCGGAAAGAGCTTCAGAGACCAGAGGGATGGTCGGCCGGAGACCCCCCTAGGTGGGTTGCGGCCCTTCAGTCCCGGTATGCGAGCTCACACTCCGCTTGTCTCTGCGTTCAATGAGCTCTCGGCAATGCCAAGCCCGTAAGTGTTAAAAAGCCGATCCAAAAAGAAGGATGAAACCCAAGTACTGACAACCTCTAGACACGCATTGCGCAAATCGGGAACGTACGACAATTTGGACTTTGCTCCTCCGCCTCGCTTCAAGAATACAGAGACTGCAAGTGACGCCGGCAGCATCCACAGCAACCGGACTGGGGTTTCATCCACCCATTTGCATAATATTCGCACTGGTGCGTACCGTGTCAGCCGCCTACCCGCGGATACTGTAGGTACGAAGGATGACTTGAGGTCGAACCTTCGTCCGACCTGGGACTTGCGGCAGTAAATATACGTGTATCCATTTGAATTTTGCGTTTCCACTTCGATTCTTGATGTAATGATTGTTCTCTGTCACAATATATGTGGTAATTTGACACCGCATTACGATTCACCCTCTTGTTTTTATCTTACATACTGGCAGCCCTTTGAAGGAAGCCGAGTCAGATCCGCAATATCTTTTTTTCTTTTGGATCTCGTGGAGTACATGCACATAACATGATGGGGTTGGGGATTTATTTGTTATTATTTGATGTTTATTAGAATCTTTGAATTTCTTACCTGAAGGCGAATGCGTTTGCATAGCCTGGTGGCTTTTCCATCTACCGTAGGTAGGAAATAAGCTTCATATGGGCTTTGTGTTCCGGTCTCGCCTCTTGAAAGCCTCTCCGAAGTACTCCGTCGTTGGTCCTATCAACCGGGCAGTGCTGTCCGGTAATCATATTACACTTTGGTTTAATATAATTTTAGAAACCGAGGCCGTATTTGGTCCGTAATGCCCGTGATTGTCCTTTGGGGGTACTCTGTGCCAGTCTTCTGCACATCAAGTCAGAGTAAGTCTACTTATGATAGAATACCTGAATCAGATCGCCCAGGGGATTACATAACTATGACTATGAGGTCCTCGTACGCAGGCTTGCGCTTCTATAATTAACTATTGGTGGCAAAATCAACACGCCGGGATTTACTGGTACCGAATTTCTGTTTCCCACGGAATCTTCGTCCACTAGTTAGGGCTAACTAGGTGACGGCTGCTTATTTCTGTACGGAGTGAACACGAAAGGGCTAGATGTTCGAGAATTAATGCTCACTTGTTGGAGGTCCACAGCACATTGTAAAGGCTACAATAACTAACCTAATTCCATACCTACAAGACCTCGGGTAAATTGTATTGTAGATACAGTACCTAAGGTACCTTACCTTACCTGCTGTATGTACGGAGTACCCACGGAGTCCCCACGGTGTACCCATGGCTTGTATACCTTAGTGGTATCAGAATGACAGTACCTTACCGGCAGGCGTCTAGGCGTACCGTACCTGAGTGACGGATAAGGTACCTCTCCATACCTTTAGTTCCTAAGTTAGTGGTAAGTTTTTCCGCTTTCACTCACCATCCCCCCCACCCCTTTCCTGCTTGCAGGCCCTCTCAATAATACCTACTGTATGTACAATAGATACTACCGGCCGCTTTCGGTGGACTCGTAATTTGGGTAGGATTCGGCTGCCGCTCTCTTTCCATCTCCACTCTCGCCCTCTCTTTCTCGCTCTTCTTCTCTGGACCCATTTCCCCTTCAACTCTTACCTTCTTAGATTGCCTTGTGAATCTGTGAATATTGCATTCTGTTATCTCATGGCATCCTCTTTGGTTTGCGTAAGTTGCTTTCCTTGATCGATCCGCTCGGATGGAAGGATTTCCTTGACCTCTCCATCGATTTGTTGTTCTTCCCCCCCCCCTGACTCTTATCCACAGGCCGACCCTCGTCAAACCGGATTCTTTTTACGCGCTTAATCCCGCCTCTTCTACTGGAATGTTTCGGCGGCACTCTCCTTTGCGCGCAATCTTTTACAATAATTGACTCTCGTTCTCTCGGATTTTCTAACGCCTGAGGAACGTTCGATCCCTCGCTCAGTCCACTTTAATCAACATTCCGGCTCCAGCCGCACCGTTCGATATTAAGAGAACGTAGCGGACCCGTTTCGACTTAATTTACACCGTCCTTGCGGCGCCTTTTGCCTGCAACGCAGTGGAAGCGATTGAATATCATTCCACAAGGCTTTTTTAGTTGTCGGGACAAGTGAGCACCGGGCCAATCGTTCATGATGGCACAATCATCAGGTATAGTCAATTCATGCACGATTCCCCTTTGCCCCGGAGGCTAAATGTTTTCTAGTTGCAGTCCCGGCGCCGACGACAAACAACAATGATGCCGCCACGCCGACACAAGCCGACACAACGTCGGTACCGCCGGCTGAAACTTCTACGACCTCCCAGCCCGAACCTGAGCCAACAACCTCTTCAAACCCCCCAACGTCGTCAACGTCATCAACGTCGTCAAGCTCGTCCACATCCTCAAGCTCAAGCTCATCGAGCTCTACTACCACCCAACCGCAGCCGACAACCTCTAGCGACCCCCCTACTACATCCTCCACTGAAGAGTCTTCTACCAGCACCACTGAGGCTCCCACCACCTCCCCTGTCGTTACCTCGGTAATCACGGAGTCACCTACCGATGGGACCACAGGTCCACGCACTCTGACAATCACGTCAACCGCAACCTCTCTCCCAACTCTCTCCACAGGAGATTCAGCAGGCAGCGCGTCAGCCACGAGCGGGTCGTCGGCTACAGCATCGGCTACCAGTACGGCTGCAGCAGCCGGAGGCTCCGGGCTTTCGGCCAGTGGCACAATAGCTGTTGCCGTCGTCGTACCAGTTGTTTCCGTTGCCCTGATTATCATCGCCGCCTTGTACTTCTGGAGGAAATGGAAGGGAAAGAAGGCAGCCGAAGAGGAACGACGGAAGGAGGTGGAGGAATACGGCTTCAATCCGAACAACGACCCGACGCTTCCACCTGTAATGGGTGGCAGTGCCTACGAGCCTAAAGACGACACTTCCGGATACAGAGGCTGGGGAACGACTTCTGCGGGTCGCAAAGCGTCGACAAATCTATCTAGTAGCGCTGGAGTCGGATTGGCTATGTCTGAAGCTGGAAGCGCGCCTGGTTACCACCATGCCGCCACCCCGAGTGACGGAACTATACAGTATTCTGAAGGGCAGGCTGCTGCAGAGACCGAGCCAATTGGGGTTCTAGGCGCAGCACCGGTGGCGGCAGCCAATAACCGAAATACAGACATCCATCGCGGTCCCTCGAACGCCTCATCAGCGTATTCTGCAGCAAACCGGTCGGAGGCCTCGGAGGAGAGCCACATGTCTGCAACTCATCACAATGGCGCGTTCTATGATGACAATCCCTATTACAATGACATGCAACCGCAGTATGGGGCGTATGGCGATGGTCCTTATAGCGGCAACCAACCTGTGATCCGAGACGTCCAGGCACGGCGCAATACACGCATTGAAAACCCGGCTGTATTCCCCCGGCAAGGAAACGCTGGTATTGCCCAGAACTTTTAAGGACAGCCGGAAGGTCTATTCTGATATACATTCATCGGAGCTGTCGCCCGGGAATGGAACCAAGCCTATCTTGTTTGTGGCACATCATGCGAAACTCGAGCTCCCTTCTCGCCCAGGTCGGTTGAACATCGCTTACCGATCTCTGAATGGTTTTTGTTCGGCTTGAACCACCGGGCACTAACCGTGACCTTTTTTTCAGTCGTTTACACTCTCGTTCTCGAATCATACGCGCCTTCTTTTTTTTTCCGTTCCATTTTTCTTTCGTCTCATCTTGGATATCTTTATCTTGGATATCTTCTTCTTTTCTTTTTGTCGCCGTTGACTTGAGGTTTCCGTTGTGTTTGATGTACCGAGAGTCCTGATCTATTTACTTGCTATTGTATATTCCACTGCGCGTTGTTGTTAAGTACCTTGATATATCCCCCGTTTTCTTCTCACCTTCTCTCGATTCTTTCGTTTTCGATGGTTTGCTTGTATATTGATGACTCTTCTGACCTGCCAATGGCAGACTGGAAGTGTTCTTTTTTTTCTCTCACTTTCGTCTTCATTCTTCCTCTCAACCTTTGTCCTTTCTTTCTCTTCTTCTTCTCCTTTTTTTCTTTTCCTTTTTCTGACATAATTGTTCTTAAGTTTGGTCCATGGTCCTTAACGCGACATTGGATTGTTTGTTTTGGCTGGGACTGGATAACTTGTGGTACCAAGGGTATATTGCTCGCATTTCCAACTGTTGATAATCGAGTTCCGCTGCTCGGCGGCGATCCGGCTCGGCTCTGTACGTCTAGAGATCGGACAATACCATATATGGGTCCTGCAAATACTGTACGATTTACTCCGTAGTGTAGCGCATCTCCACCGGAGTCGCAGATAATCTCCGCGGACCGGGCTGGGCGGTCAAGTTGATGGGTGACTAAGCCTAGTTGGCTGGCCCGGGGAAAAACGTGGGCAGATGGAAGGCGGTGATTGGCGGCAGACGAACAAGTCAAGCTCCCCACTTGGCACCGACCCTGGTCAAGTTCAACTGGACTACGAACTACTACCTCCTCCATACTACCACCTACTCCCTCGCCGTTTGCCTTAGTCCAACGAACTAGACCACCTGCCATAAGTCCTTTTCGCTGACATGGACTTGAATGCCCCGACACGAGTCCCATCCCCTTGCGTGTCTGCCGAATAGTCGTTTTCACTTTCTTCGGAAGTCGCCTTCGAGTTACCCGCATCGATTTCTTTTCTATCTTGCCTTCCTCTCCCCCTCCTTCGTCCAGGCTGACCCAAAAAGGTGCCCCGCACTCTGGAGTCTTCAATTCGTCCAAACATCATTTGCAGCTGTCTGTCTCCCTTGACCATCACCATTCACTCCAGTCCTGCTTCTCCCTCCTGTGAACGAGGGGCTTTTCTGCCACACATGCTCTTCTTTCCTGCATCTAACCTCTAAATTCCCGGAAAAGGTCCGTGGCTTTTGGATTGATCCTGTACGACGAAAGTACTACAAACCTATCCCTACGGTTAATAAATACCACCTATTGCTATTCCACCCCTTCAGTGGCTATTAACGTGCCCCACATCGGGCTGCTTCGCTTTCTATATAAGTGTTGAAGCACCCCCTGTCCCGTCCTGTTGAGCTCAAGGAGGGGCAGGTGCCGTTTTCTTTTACATCTTGCTTCTCTGCCCCTTGCTTGCAAATTCGCCGGCCGCGGTGTCTCCTGCGCTTCCGAACGATCCCCCTCTTCTTGCTCAGATCCCAGACGGGTGGTGATCCTTTCTTTTCCTTCCCCTTCTCTCTCTTTTTCTCTTGCTTCTCAACGCAGGTGTATCGGGTGTATCTAGGTGTCCAATCAGGTCATAATGTAGGTGCACCTCTAAGCTCTGCGGTCTCACTCCCCCCGCCGGAGAACTGCCTTGAGTAACCATTAGCGGAGAATTGGTCCGCTCCTGGTTCTCCTGACGTCTCGTGCTAAATCATTGCGGATGCAGGAAGTTTGGCAAGCAAATCCAGCGCAGGCAGCTCGATCTCCCCGAATATGCCGCCAGTTTTGTGAACTACAAGGCTCTAAAGAAGGTCCGTCGACCTGGACTCTGCGAAACTTCGTCCTTCTTAGCTAATGCTTCGGCGGCAGCTTATAAAACAACTTAGCGCAACTCCGAGGATTCCAGCGCAAAACAGTGCAGATGTTTCTAGGGATGTGCCCGAAGCGCAGGCGGCCCTTCGCGCCAACAAAGAGGTTTTTTTCTTTAGGCTGGTATGCAATAACTCCCTGCTTCTTGAGAATTAGGAAGCACCGTTGACCTGACGGATAAAACAATAGGAGCGCGAGATAGAGAAAGTCAATGCTTTCTATTTGCAGAAAGAAGCCGAGGTCTGCTATTTCCACATCCATCATTCGGCCCAACAAAACTGATCAAGGGTCCCAGTTCTCCTTGCGATTGAAAACACTTATCGACAAGAAACGGGTCATTCAGTCACGGGCAGCAACACATTCCAAAGCACCGGCGAATTATGTTGCCCTCTTTGAAGGGTTCCAGCAATTCGATGGAGACCTGAACAAGTTACAAGTGGGTTCTCATATCAAGTCTATTTCTTCATATACTAATGTTTACTGTTTTCTATTAAAAGCAATTCGTTGAGATTAACGAGACTGCCATGTCAAAAATTCTAAAAAAGGTTGGTGCTGGATGGTGGTACGGATGTTATATACCAGAGGTAGCTGACAAGATGATTAGTGGGACAAAACTTCAAAGGTCCGAATTCTTCCATCGAGCTCTCCGGGAGATGAATATCTACGATTGGTCGTGCCAGTTTTGCTTACACACTCTTATCTTTATATCTCAATAGTCTCGCATGAAGGAACTGTATCTACACCGAGCCGTGGAGGTACAACCGTGCTTCAACCGCGACGTTCTACGTGATCTAGCTGACCGGGCCACGACCGCGCGTTTGGAACTCGAGGCATGGGCGGAAGGCGAAAACATCCAGTTTGATACAAGTCGGCCCATTGATCGAGCCGGAGCTGTCCAGCCGTTCGGGTCCGATGAAGAGGACCTGGATCTCCAAATCCTGCAGTCTGCCACCGCGGGCAATCTACAGACATTGCGCGAATGGACTGCCAAATTGCAGGCTTCCCCTGATGCCCGAGATCGCGCAACTCGCACATTCCTGGCTGCCATCAACGAATTTTCGGACGACGTGCTTGCAGTTCTCCTTGAAAGTGGCCTAGTCGACATCTACGCAGAAGACGACATCAACGAGCGCAATTGCCTACATGAGGCGGCTATTTCGGGGCGAGAATTTGTGTTTAAGGCGGGTCTAGCAGCCGACGTCGACGTCTCTAGATCTGATGTCTACGGCAGAATACCTTTACATTACGCCTGTATGCATGGCCGCGTCGAAATGGCTCGTGAGCTGCTTGCGGCGGGTCCTCACACCGTCGACATTATGGACCATGACAATTTTACCCCTCTGATCCACAGCATCGTGAAAAATCATCTCGCATGTGCTGAACAGCTATTGCACAACAATGCCCGCATCGATCCAGCCTCCGAATCTGACCACATTCCGTTGAATTTGGCTTGCCAGCATGGGTCGCTTCCGATAGTGAAAATGCTTCTCGAGAGAAACGCCCAATTATTGCCAGATGCGGAGGGCCTTTATCCTCAACACATGGTTGCACGTGCCTCACAGTCGCCGCAATTACTATTAATGCTCAAGCAACACGGCGCGGACCTCAACCAGCGCGACAAGCTGTACCAGTGGACGCCGCTCTTTCACGCCGCCAGTGAGGGCTGTGTTGGCTGCCTACGTACCCTCCTAGAGACTGGTGTCGATGCTGACGCAGTGGACGAAAAGGGTCTGGCGGCCATGTACTATGCAGCATGGGAAGGCCACCTGGAGTGCATGCTCCTTCTTTGGTCCCGTCGTACCGATCTCCAGTCACCGCGCAAACCCTTCGGCGTTCTAGATGGCTTGCAATTACACGAACCAGGCTTCACCGGAGACTCGCACATGGATGACCCGGCGGCTCTTGACAATGTCGAAACAGTAGACGGGATTCCCGATCTGTCTCTGCCACCACCCATCATACCTTTAAGACGCTACGGCCATAACTTCCTGGACAAAAAGGTTTTCATACAAATTCTTTTCGACCCCGGCAGTTCGGGCTCGATCTCTTTTGATCAAGCTGGCCGCCACCCCGCCGCCCGATTAACTATCTCATCGAAACTGTCTGATTTGATTCCACGCACCATCATGCTGCCGATTCAGGAAGATTCGCGGCTAATATCATTCCAAGTGGATAACTTGGAGACCTTCTCCGTTGATTTCGAGATATTCCCTACCTTTGGTTCGAAGGTGATTGCCAAAACTGTTGCGCTCCCAGCAGTTTTCAGAGCCGAGCATTCTAGCATGGGGTCTTGCTGCTTGCCACTTTTTGATCCGCGACTACGGTCAATCGGGCAGTTACGGTTCGGTTTCCAGGTCATCAAACCCTATCATGGCGACCCGTTGGAGATCACACATTTTGCCACATACTGGAAGGCGACGAGTGCCATTGACTCAGAACACAATGGTCTAGTAACCGGGTCCAGCCTTTCGGGAGACCACATCCAACTTTTTGTACAGCTCACCAGGGATAGAGTCCCCGTCCTTCATCCTCGTTTCACAATTGATCACCACGGCGTTGGTATCCCCATCTGCCATCTCACTTACGCTCAGTTCCAGGCCGTAGGCGCCGAGTTAGGTGTCAAGCGGGCGGATATCGTGCAATACTTGCAGGATTGTGCCGTTGATGATCTGCCGCAAACGCACCGCCTGCTCGCTTCCTCGTTCCTTTCTCTGCAGGAGGTGCTTCAGCATTTGCCCCTGAGCATCAATGTTAATTTGTCTATCCTTTACCCCTCGGTCGCCGAGGGAGAGGCACTGAATATGACGTCATTACCAGATGTCAACACTTTCGCAGATGCTATCCTGACCGAAGTCTTCGATCATGCCCGTATTGCTCGGGAGCAGAATCCCGATTTCATGCGTTCGGTGGTGTTCACATCCTACAATTCGAATATTTGCATTGCTTTGAATTGGAAACAACCAAACTGTAAGTCATACTCCCTGGGAATCGGAGTCAGGGAACTGGAAGCGGAATGGGCTTTTGCTAACGCAGGCACCTGAAAGATCCCGTCCTTCTTTGCAACGATCTGGGGCAAATTCGGGATTTGGCTCGTGATGTTGGATCATTGCCAGGAATTGATAGCAGTGGGCGTGCGTCAATGTCTATAAAAGAATCGGCAAGAATTGCACAGGGCAACAATTTCATGGGATTGATATGCCGGTCTAGTCTCCTGGTGCGTACCCTCCTCCTCAGTCCTTCCAGTCGCATTTTCTGTGATGAAGCGGAGGTGAATCGGGAACAGTATACTAATGTGTGATCCATCGGGTGCTGTAGAATGTTGTACCGGCTCTGGTAGAGACGATCAAGGAGCTTGGCCTAGTGCTTGTGGCCGACACTTCTGACGAAGTTGAACCGCCGGCGCCCCAAGAGGTTTTGGCAAACTCAAACACCATGGGTGTAGCTGACTGGGCCTATCGAATGCCTGATGGAGTCAATGGGATTATGAAGGCCAGTGGCATTCTCAGGTTTAATGATATGATTGACATATGATGCACATGTGGTGGCTATAACCGACTTCTTCTGATTACTTCGTCATATTGTTGATCCTCGATATTATATAGCATACCCTGGATGATGTCAATGGGATAACAGGAGACGGCGATTGAAGGAGTGTTCTTCGACAACGTCATATTCGCAAGACGAACAGCCGGCTCTTTCAACTGTCATTGGTTTGGTTCTTTGTTTTCCACCGACGGGTTCGGCGTTTTCTTCTTGTCCACCTCTGCTTTGACGGTCCGTTCGAACAATAGCTTGTTGGCGGCAGAGGTAGATAAGAGAGGAGATAGGCGCATGGCTATGCGCCCTGTGAATTAGATCTAACATTAATATACATCAAGTTACAAGTACCATCTATATAGTTTTACACATCGCTATGCCACCAAGGCGAAGGACAGCACGGGTAAGGAAAGACAATGCAGAAGTGGAGGTGATCGCTCGCAAGCAGACACTCGTGTTGATGAGGTCGTCTCACTCAGGACGAGTGATGGAGGACAAGGGGGGAAAGGGTTTACATGCCCCTGGGCTTCCCTTTGACAATGTCCCAGCCCCACTGTCTCAAGACCTTGACAACTTTGGGGGTGATGCCCGCTGTCAAGGGCACGCGGATGAAGATCAAACTCTTGTGAATGGCGTAGGCGAGGGCCAGTTGTGTCCATAGGCCTACGGATGAAAGCGAGCAGATATCAGTCAAAAGTGTTCCTTTGCACGACAAGAATAAGAGGAGAAGGGGAGGAGGGGGGGGAGGCATTGCGACATACTGGCTTCACCATCTGCCTTGGGTTCTTCAGCCGCAGGTTCATTGGCCTGTTCCTTCGTGGCCTCGCTGGTTGGACGTTCAGATTGCGATTCAGTCTCGGGTGCGCTAGGCCAAACGGTCTGAATTGCACCCTTCACGGATTCCAAAATCACATGTTCATAGTGCCCGATGCGATCCACGCCCAGCAGACGAACAGCGGCGAAGCAGATGGGGAAATCCATCGCCGACAAAAGCAGATACACCCAAAGAGCAGACCAGCCGTATTCGCGCGAAAGCGTCTTCAGTCGCTGCGAGAGCGACCCCGATTCTCCGGATTGCGACGAGTAGCGTTTCGACTGGGACGAGTTGAAGAATCGCCGGAATGTTGCCGATTGTGGCCGGCGAGCGAGGTTCTGCGCTGCGGATCTTCCGAACTGTGTTTGACTCCGGAAGCTTCGGCCTTGGTGGGGGGTAACGTTCGCCCCGAAGGAGAATCCCCGGCGGAAGATGGACGGAGACGAAGGCTGACCGGGCCTGGCGAATTTGACCTTGATTATAGGCGAAACTGGCGCATGTTGGACCAGCTCAGAGAACTGGGATAGCCAGCGCGATGCAAAGGTATGTCGGGGAAGCATTGCTTATGGTTCGAAAGACTGCGTGTAGGGTGGGACGTAGAGATGGTCGTTGTAGGTGGATTTATTCTCTGATGTAAGAATTGGCAGTGCAACGAGAATTAGAACAGATGAGAGAAAGAATCAGTGACGCGCCAATCTCTGCAACAAAAGACAAACAAGAATGGCCAGAAGTCGCATGAAGGAAAGAAAAACGGCGAGACGATGATTATTGCGGACTCGGATCATCGGAATGTCCTACCGCCTTCCCTCTCGGGGGAGGGAAAGCTTCCCGTAGTAAAAATCTCGGACTAAAAGAAGGGACAGACCGTCGACATCAATTACGCCCCTGCTTCCCCTTCAAGCAGACGAGTCCCTTCCCACCATGCCTCCTCGTCTACCTGGGAAGCTCACCCAGCTTCCTGTCCTAAACAGGGCCCCGGTGCTGGTGATTCCCACCAACCCTCTCGCGCGAGCCTTTGGCATCCGATCCTTGAACCCTCCCAAGCCCTCCCCATTCAATGTCGGCCCTAATCTGCCCATCCTGAAATCGACCCCCGCGGCGGCCTTGGAACGGAAAGCCAATACTTTGCCCCTCAGAACCGGAGCTATCGCCATCAAGAAGGGAATGACTGCTGTCTATGACCCGGAGACTGGAAAGCGGATTCCCTGCACCGTCCTGCAGCTGGACCGAGTCGAGGTGACTTCGTGCAAGACGCGGAAAACGCACGGGTACTTCGCCGTTCAGCTCGGTGCCGGCTGGAAGCACTCTAGCAACATCACGAAGTCGCTGCTTGGTCATTTCTCCGCCAACGGTGTCTCGCCCAAGAGGCATGTGTGCGAATTCCGGGTCAAGGACGCAACTGGCCTCCTGCCCGTTGGCCAAATGATCCACGCGGACTGGTTCGAGCCGGGCCAGTATGTCGATGCGCGATCCAACTCGAAAGGAAAGGGCTTTGCTGGTGTTATGAAGCGACATGGCTTTGGCGGTCAGGATCGCAGTCACGGTGTCAGTTTAACGCATCGGTCACTGGGTTCTGCAGGCCCTAGTCAGGGTGGTGGTTCTAGGGTGTACCCCGGAAAGAAGATGGCGGGTAATATGGGAAATGAGCAGAACACAGTCCAGAACTTGAAGATCCTCAAGGTTGACAAAGATAATGGCATTGTTGTCGTCAACGGTCAGTATTTCACCTCCCACCCGCTCTTGTGTTTCAGAACCCCCGAGAACTAATCGTTAATGTGGACTAGGCTCCGTCAGTGGTCCTAAAGGCTGCGTTGTCAGGATACAGGATGCTATCAAGAAGCCCTGGCCTGAAAGCGCCACCCAAGCAGAGTAGGCGGTCGAACTGCTTTTGCTTGGGCTTCTTCCTTTCCACACGAAAATGTACTATAACTTGATTATTTCATTCAGAGCGGCGGTATATACTACATAAATGATATCCTCTTTTAACCATTCGGTTCTTCCCTTTCTCCCGTTTCTCTGCCGCTTCGGCGCTTCCATCAAGGGCGGCTTCCACGGCGATCGCGATTGCGGCCAGGCACTGATTGGCCAAAAAGATGAGGTCCCTTTGCCTCTCCTCCAAGAAGGGTCGAATCGCGAATGCCAATGTGGAGAAAGCTCGATATGATGGAGGAGAAGACCCAAGAACAATAATACCCGAAGATCACATGCTCAGAAACGCCCCATTATATGCAAGGAAAAGATGTTTTCTAGATGTACAAGGTAGGTATCTCAAAGTAGCACGCGATAGATAGGCCGTGGTTGTGCAGACCAGGACAGTCTTATGACCTCGACGATTCATTCAATCGCTTTGTTGAAACGGGTCGGTACCATCAAGTAACTGCACAACCGTTCCATCCTCCGTCTCTAAGCTCCACTCCTCGGTCCGGAACTACATGATTGAAAAAGCATTAGCACAAGCATTTCCAAAACACGATGGAGGGGTGGAGAGGGACGCTTCGGCATCAGAGTGCAGGGTGGGATCACGCACATAACTCATCCGGTCCGGCCTCAAGCTTCGGAATCTCATCCGGCCTTGAGATTTAGTCCCTTTGACCCGAAACGAGATATCAATGCGGCCGTGTAGCTGGTTCATTTCCCCACTGATCCATGGGATCTTCTGGGCGAAGTAGATTTCATCTCCGAGGATCTCTCGGGCACGGGGCGAGGTGCGAAGCGCATAAAGGGTGCTGTTCACCACGCTCGAGGACGACTTCTGATAGTTGAAAATGCCGAGCATCGCCGCGCCGACGACGACCGCAAAGACCGGAAGCGTCCGCAGCCAACGTCGCTCTGAATTCACGGCAGGGAGTTCTCGGTCTGCCCGCCGTTCCATGAGAGGGCCCGAATTGGAGCGTGGGGCGGGAATCAGATTGCGACGAGCGTAAGTCTGGCTGCCATATCGAGGCAGTCGTGGGACTGCGATCCGTCTCGGAACGCTTCTTGTCGCAAACATATCGGGAAGCTACCTGAAAAAAAGGGGAACGTGTATGTGAGACGGACAGCGAGGAATGCTGTGACAAGGAGGAAATTGAGAAAAGCTCTGGGGGAGGGTGGTGATTGAAGATGCGAAGGATCTCGGCGGACGATGGGCCATGCGGCGGGAAACTGCCAAACAAGACAAACTTCTTCTGCCTCCGTCGCCCACGCACCTTGTCCTCTCTGCTGTCTCGGCTCGCACCTGTTTGAGTTGGCTACATACCTACTCTATACTCATGGCAACTACAAGGCTTCGTAAGGTATTTCGGTATCCGGATGATGATTCGGGGGGCGAAGAACATGGTCGCGACGACTTGGATGAAGAAGGTTTGTCAGGCGATCGGCCTCGGTCTATAATGATACATTAGCACCCATCCATCTGACCTCTTTTTTTCTACAGAGCAGGAGCTGGTGATAAGTAAACTGAAAGCACAGAATGAACGCCAAAATACCGGATACAGCGTAAATGCATGTCTCTCTAAGCACGCCAGCACGTCACTAAGTGGTTGATCGAATTGATGTGCAGGTCATATTCAGTGCGATCCCAATACTCCCGGCCATCATGCTCGTTCCGCTCACACTCTCGGGGATATTGAGGCTACCTGAACGGCTCTTCTCGTTCTTGGGCTTGCTCTCTTTGGTTCTTACGTCGTGCATCATGATATCTTCACCGCCGCAGCGTTCAGACCACAAGAGCTCGGCATCAAATTCCCGAACACTAGCAGCTATCTTGCGGTTTTCTGTCCCCATGAATGCTGCCATATGTGGATTGTTGGTGTTGGCTTGCTTGATGGGCTCTGACCCGAGACCCACCCCAAGTGATCAACTGCTGATATACTTTGTCCCTGGAGGTGCGTTCATTCCCTTATCCTTGCTTCATTCGGAATCCTCCTCGAAATGAAATATGATATGATGAGCCAACAGATTCAATCGTCTAGTCATGTTTGCAAGTGTTATGGTTGTGCGACATACCATGGCTACCGTTGAATTAAGGCATCTGGAAAATCTGCGATACGAATACAAAGGTGCCTAGGTGGAGAGTCCAACAAAGTGGCAGGCACTTAAAGTTTCTCTCTGCCCTGTAAAGGCCTACAATGTAGATAATTGGGTACACGTGTTATGATTTCGATGAAAATCCCTGTCCTTGACCGAGCAATTCACGGATCAAGTTGTATAGCTGCTCCAATGGCCACATCCTCGCATCTACAGAGCTACACCAATCTTGTCTGCAGACCGTTTAGTATTGTGTTGCCAGGCTGGGGGTTCATTCATTGATTCATTCCAATGGTCGATTCCAAAGTCAGAGAAGACCTATCAAAATTTTCCAGCGCAGGGTCGATCGGTATTTCTTCATAATCGGTAGAACGGGTTGGCTCGTGTCCCCCTAAGTGAATTACAGCGGCAGGCCGAGCCGCCACCTGAGGGTGCTCTTCTAATTGAATGCTACTGTTCACCATCTGGTCGCGTGTTTCGTCTGCCTCTTGTTGGTGCCTCATCAGTCGCCCGATTTCATCATCGCCTGCTTTTTTCAACCACCGAATATTCGACTGCCTGAAGTCAACCAAGCTCTCCACGCTACGCGGATCAGCGAACGCCCTGGTATCATGGCCGAGTAGGGTGCTCGTTGGTTCGAATGGCCTCATCGTAGGATCTCGACGACACGCAGCACAGCTGCACCTCTTTTCACACTTGGGACACACCCATGCATCTGTCTCCATGGTTTCTTGAGGCTGTATATTAAAAGCCCTGAACAGACTGCCGTAGCAATAATTAGCATGGCAGAGTGAGCATGAAGCCAGCTTCCACATGGGTTCTGTGTATCTGCAAATATGACACCGACCACGTTCCTCGTTAGTATTGCCTTTCCTTCGCTTTCGGGCGGGGGTTGAAGCCTCCGAGTCACTGGATTTATCCTCTATCCTTTCGTAGACTGGTTCAGATATGTCCACCCACGGACGCCTCTTCAGTTCCTCCTGGCATATTTGTGCCGGGGATTTCTTGGCCATCTGAGATCTCGCCTCTGAAAATGTTTGAAGTAAGCCGGTTTTTCCTGCGCTGAATGTCTGGAGTTGTTGTCTCCATATTTCATGCTTCCCCGTCAGCTCCTTCCAGGTGAATTGTTCAGCCCATTTCAGCCTAGACCGGCACCTACAGCTCCTGCCCATGATGTAGCACTCCATGCAAATATCATACGTATCGTCCCCGTCACCGACGCACCACGGGCAAGTGAGAAACCTATTGAATAAATTGCTCCGGCAATAAGAGCATGTGATACTGCCGTCAAAGGGAATATACTCGGTCTCCTTCTCGTCTGGCGTATCATTCTGAAAGCTTTCCGACAGCAGTATTTCGGTATACAAGTAGAAGAGTTTTGCGAAGTCTTCCTGCAGCTTTTGCGTGGCTCGTGTGTGGGTCGCATGGCCTTCGGCAAGAAGACTAGAATAATGACCTAGTGCATAAAACACAATGGCCTTGTTCTTGTATTGTTCGTCTCGGCAAACCATTCTTGCATGCGGTAGCGCTTCATCAAGGGCCAATTTCAGGGTATCCGCGGTCGTACGATTCCACGCTATCTTCATGGTCCTTGTCCCACGGTTCCAAACCTGATGCGCCGCCATTGGGGGAACAAGGATGAAATCGCCGGGTTTCTGTTCGACAACGTAGGTCTTGAAGGGCGCCCCCTTCCAAGCATTAATTTGGGCAAAATGATCCTCAACATCAATATCGTGCCCCAACGCAGACATCCAGTATTCTGAGACAACGTGACGGTCCTTGCTCTCAGTCATAAACCATATCGAGGAACCAGGTTTGGTGACCTTCCCGTATTCCGTCGAGCCGTCCGATGCTTCGATCATGATATTTTGCCCGAGACTCGCACACATTTCCTGATGGGCTGGTGTATATGTTCCCTCGTGACCTATGTAGCACATCAAATTCTCCGCGCGCATACTCGACGGAAGGCAGCTCATTAGATCTCCGACTCTTGGAATCACCTCTTCTTGGTTTGAACATGCCTCGGAGGCATCCGGCTTGTTTAGGTAGAAGAGAAATGGTGGTAGGACTGACTTTAGGTGGTCATGCCATTGCTGTGGACAATCAATGTCCTTGAGATATATGCGCTGTCGATTGGGTTCTTTGTAGTTGTATGCATTCCACTGGTTCGTAAGAAGGGGCAGATTCTTGAGATAATGGCCAATTGTGAGTGGAAGATTGGTCTTGGTCGTCAAATTCCGCGCAGTCTCCGCTGTTGTTGGTGAGAAACCGTGTTAGAGTGAAATTGTAATGCAAACAGACGTATGTATCTGTATCTGAACCACAAACAATATAGTGCCGGGGCAGCCACTCACATTTCGTTGCATATTCCCCTCTCAGCCACTTTTCGGAGAATAGGGAGTTGTCCAGTCGTTCATTGAACCCTCCCACAACCAGGGGCATGCCGCCCAAGACAACGTGGAGCTGCACTAGTTTCTCAAAGCTCTCCAGGCCCTTTGCGTCGATGGCGTTACAATGGAACTTAGGCGCCCACTCAAAGCTCGGTGTTGATCTAACCAGAGCAGACACGTCTAAGTCAGGCGGAAGAGGCTCAAAAGCTGCCTTGGGGCGTTGGTTCGGCATAGTGGCAAGTGATTGAAGGAAGTCCGGCGCGTGGTATTGAGAGGTGGGCACAGAGACATAGTTCACCCTAAATCATGGTGAGAGAACTCCAAAATTTTACACGCCAAACCAATACTCTTTTCAAGGTAAAGAGGCAGACAGGTGTGTATAGTATCTGCGCAAGTGGGCAGGTGCGCGACGTAGGTTTGGAAATGATGAAGACAGAGGGCACCCCTTGGTGCGGTCAAGAATAGTAGGTAGATCAGAAGGGCGGCAAAGCTAATGGGATGTTTAGCAGGAGGGAGGGGGAATGAACTGAGGAGTGTGGTAAAATTGGCCTCGAAAGAGGTGATCCAGTCACTTGGGACCTGTGGGTAGGTAATGGTGACCAGCAAGCTCGGTTCATTCGGCGGGCTTGTTACCCTATTCATCTATACTTCATACTTCACATGACTTTCGTTCTTTCTGCTCTAGTCCTTTTAAGTACACTTCGCTTTTATCTTGCTCTGCCCTCTTTGCATCAATTACATGTTAGGGTGTCCTTAATTCAAGAGCTACGGCATACAGTTGATTCTAGGCTAGCAGCACAAGAGTTCAAACCAATATAGTAATTTTTTCTGGGCCTTGTCCTCTCACTCCCCCGGCTCATAAGGAAAAGGCCATTTAGCAACAACGCTTCATTCATCGCTTCCGTTTGCGGGGAGCTGGCTCGCTATGGCTAATTCTGCAGCAATGCCCATGTTTTTGTATACTAAAATGCAAGAGGCAAGGCAGTTCGCAGTTTAGCGACACAGCCAACACGGCTCATAGTCGCCTTTCAGCTAGTTACCAGCGAAGCCACACCGCGGCGGACAGCAATGTAGTAAGCATACTGGAAGTTGGTTAGAGACAGAACTGGTTGTTCTCTTCCAGTCGCTATCTCAGTGTCTCCAGTGCGTGGTACTTAAGGTTAATATAGATCTGTCCCCTGGGTCAGCATCCTATGCTACCTCTAAGGCTATGCCGAGTCTCACGATTCCTTATGCAGGCAGATTAAGTTTCCAAAGCTGAGCGCAGATCTTCTCAGCAGCAACAATTCAAGAGCAGACGGTTTGACTTGACAATCTCAGGTGTCATGCTTCGGGGTTGAGTCTCCTATACCAAAATGAAATTCAACGGCCCCAACTATCTCGTTCCAGTGCATCATAGCCCCAATTCCATTATCCCCACAGGCAAGTGTCTTTTGAGTAGGATAAAGGATCGACACCCAGCCTCCCTGGGTTGGTTCGTCGTGGCCCCATTCATCTCGTAGAATAGTAAGCTGCTTTTTAGTAATAGGGTGATTCCACATTGCAGTGTTCATCGCAGGCGCTACGAGCACAATGGGCTTTGTTTTCTTGAAGCTCGAATCCACAGCTCCAGTTGTGTCCCAGGCCCTGAGTACAGAGAGAAGAAGATTGTCCGAGAAGCCCATTGTCATCTTCGCCATTGTATTGGCAGAGAGAGGAGCAACAAGTAGCAAGTGTGCCCACTTTCTTAGCTCGATATGCAGAATTGGCATACCCCGAGTCCATGGGTTCTTCCATTCGTCGTGATCCTGATAGATAGCATCCACGCCGGGGATCTGTCGCAAGGTCTCCAAAGGCGGCTGCTCCGGACTTTGGCCCATTAAGAATTTCGCCGCTGATTCTGTTAGAATAATGCGAATTGAAACATTTCGATGGCGTCCAAGTCTTTCGGCGATGCAAGGCAGTTTTATCGTTGCAACCGATCCACTTGCTGCTAGAAGAATATGGATTTTGCCGTCTTGCGAACACTGTTCGGCGGAGAAAGGTATGGGTACATGATCCGTCGGTGTAAGATCGTTGCTGGAAGTTGGGTCGTTAGCCATCAAGAAATGCTTTTGTCGTGCTGAATGAGAAGGGCTGGGTCTGGGGGTCAATGCAGTGGGGGAACGGGCTGGAAGATGGTGTAATTCAAACTGCCACTTGTGTCCTTCTCGGTCACCCTATCTATGACGCCACTAACCCCGCCTTTCCTTCAGCATTATTGTTTTTCTCTTTCCGTGGTGCGCGAAATACGGTGTATACTGCCTTCAATCCGGCGCGGCTTGAGCAGTTAGTGAGCCACACAGCCAAACCCACTGTCGCGTAGGTGTGATATACATTAACGTCGTTATATTGATTCTTGAGCTCCCAGACTATTATCTAATTCTCATTCACATCGTATGCACAGATATACTACCCAAAGGATATAGCAACAGTTTCCCGCCCACAATCGTATCTCTTAATCTCATGCGTCGTCTGGCTGATCTGCAGGGATCCGGACTAGAATCGAAGGCATCGCCGGGACATCACTTTGGACATCAGTATCTGATCGGGGCGCTGCCCCCTGGTGGACGGCCGAGGCTTTTGCTACAATTTCCACAAACACAAAACATTAGCACTTTTCTTCCGGTAATAACTAGTAACAGATGGGGTCACTTGAAAAAATGTATGAAAGGCATTTCATAAAAGGCCCGTGTCACTTACTGGATGCCATGTTGATTGCTTGTAGCACGCTATGCCAATTGGCAAGGACACAAGCAATAGCTATGATATGACGTAAGAGAGAGTAAAGAGGTAATCCAGCAGCGCAACAAACCTTCTGTGCCATCTTTCAGTGTCCCCAGTTTATCCTCTAAGGCTTGCATCTGCATCGCCAGCGCACTGCTCATGTCGCGAAGCTGTTTCAGACTATCTAGTTCGGATTTTTTTGATGCAATACGGGAAGCCAAAGCTGACGATTGCTGAGCATTATGACTACTTGGCTGGCGAAGACTCGGTGCAGCAGACGAACCCGAGAACATCGAGTTAGCGCGTGCTGAATAGGCCATGATGGCAAGCTCGACTTAATCCGTCGGGGTACTCAAAAGCCGCTTCATCCGCAGCTAAGCGATGTGAGATATTGCTTCGACAACTTCTTGCTTCTCAGCATCATAATTGGAGAAATACAAGGGAAGGGACAGAAAACACGGTACATACCAATCAATAATATGGTCGATCCGGACGCTCAATCCTAGTTGTATCTGCCGCTTTGCCAGGCGGCTGCCCGATGAGGTTTACCAGCATTAGGTAAGTTGGCACTAGGCCCAACCAGGACAAACATCAACATTCCGAACTCTTTCTGTTTACTACTCCGTACTCTGCCCCGAATATCACCACTCCATCGTACTAGAACATCTTGCAATCACTTTATTCAGAAGCCAAAACAAAGCGCATTGCGACTCATTTATTCGCATTGGTCTCTACAGTGAGACCTCCAGTACATATTGCGACTGCTGGCCAGGGATCGGCGTGCAAAATAGACAGGCAAGCAGGGAAGCAGCTCGGCATGCAACATGGCCCGCCTGAATGAATCAACAGCCTCTGTGGAGTCGATCGAAACCCGTGAGTTCTTCCTTTGGGAATATTCCATTCAATCATCTTCTACCTTGTCCAAGTGCCTAACCTGGTGGGGCTTTCTCTCGTTTTCAGTGAAAAGGAGGTTTGTGAGACAGAATCGCGAACTCGCTAGGGTGAATTCGATACAGTCACTTCGTATACGCAGCTTAGAGTCTGAAGTTTCTCACTTACTTGCCGAAAATGTCTCCCTGAGGGAGCAGACGATTGCCCTCGGTCAGGAGATGGAAAGGTATGAGGCGGCCAAATCACTGCATGACGGAGTTCACGATATCAAAAACAAACTCGAAAACAAGTTGAACGAGCTTAACAATCTGGTCATCGGACTGGGCGCCTTACCTCGCCAATTCAATAAATCCTATAGTGAAAGAGTTGATGACGGGAGGCAGAGAAATTCCGCGCAGTTGAACTGGGACCTTAAGCACGATGAAGCAAAATATGAACGGAATTTCTCGCCCGAACAAGATTGGAGACTGCCTATCATACCGGAGGATGGAGATTTTTCAAGGGACAAGCCAAGGTTAGTCACGAGCAACATCTTAAAGTATCTCTCTTGTTCCTTTTCTCAAACAAAATAGGTCCTTGGAACTGGATGCGTCGATGGAAAGCACGGATACGCCAAAATCGCAAAGAAACGAGGATGGAACCACTCGAACTAAGCTTGAAGAGGACACTTTGTGTCTACAGCCAGGGGCCGATTTTGCGGACAACAGACTTGACGATTCTGGCATCGATGATACGTTTCTTCCACCTACACTTGAAACAAGGAAAAAGCGAAAGTACAACGCGTCTTGGTCAGAAAAACATTTCAACATGACATCCGAATTAATTCAATCACACGATAACCTGGAAGACACCCAGGGCACCGAGGTCCTACTGGATTTCCGTACGGAGAGCGACACTTTTGCGGCAACCCCAGCAGATGATGATTTCAAGTTTAGCCGACCGACTATCGTAGAAAAGTGCGAACGTGTTGAACCATGTGGCGATACGCCAGTCCAAGGATCATTGGAGATGAAAAGTGACTCGATGTACCATGGGCAACCTAAGCGCAGGGCGCTCAAGCCAAGTATGTGGGAGTCCAAAACTGCATTGAGTCGCTTGCTAACAAAATTACAGAGAACGCAAACATGAATACAGTCTCCTCGGGCCGGCGTCGGACTCCAACGAAAGGGAACCATTCTGAGACACCTTCCTTTGTCGGCGACGCAATTGGTGGAGACCAGACCACAAAATCAACAACAGTTGATGAGAACAATTGTCATGGAGAACGCAAACCAACAGAGATATGTGATTCCGCGGATCATGCGAATCATCGAGATGAGATAAAACGCAAGTCGACTACGACAAAACCGGACCGCACAAAAGAAGAAGCAAATCCTTCGTCGGCCTTGACCTCTTTGACGAACGAGGCACCAACAGCACCTTCCGATCCGCCATCACGGCCCACCAGGCGCCAGAGAGCAGTCGTTAGCTATGCGGAGCCGAACTTGCGAGACAAAATGCGCCGTTCCAACAACGAGCTCATAGCAGCAGTTGGCAATGGCCAATCACGAAGGTCGTCGAGTTACCAGGAACCGAAAATAGACACGGGTGACGAACTCAGTGAACGTACGATTCCCCGGGCCAACTCCAGGTCACTGGACATGGATGCGGCAGCACTTGTTTCAGACGAGTCTTCTGCGCACCATATGGATTCGGTATCACAGAGAAAACGCAAAATCTCCCCATCTTTGGACTATAAGACTGTATCCAGCAAATACGACGCCTCTAATGACTCAACAGAAGCTTCACCCATCAAGATGAGTCCCAGCTATGATAGGCACTCAGTGCGCAAAAGTACCATCGAGATACAAACAAGTATGGAACGACATGCACGTCAGCCAGTTCTCGAAAACATGAGCGATGCATCGATGGAACTTGGGGGGAAGACAGCACCATGTACGAAATCACAACCTCGGCGTCATTCCTCGAATCAAAGGTCGCATTGGAGGGAACAGCCACTTCAGCAAAGTAGGGCTGTCTCGGGCAAAGAATCGCCAGACGCTTCCTCACCATCTTTTTCGGCTATGGTGTCTCCCTCAAGCGACCTGGTGATAGATGAAACTTCTGCCTCGTCAACGAACTTCCAGGCGCCTAGCTCAGGAGATCCCCATACTCAGTCGACCGCGTCAATGGGGACCGGATCAGGCCCAAAAAAGCGAGCCAAACGGGTGTCTGCCAGACGGAGAAGCATGATGCTGTGATTAGCAGGTCAAATTGACCAAGTAATGGTGTATTTAAGTGAAGTTTTTCCATCCGAGGTTCATTGCGCCTATTACGTATATACCCCCTTTGCCATCTTGGAATTGATACGATTTACTGGAACAAAAAAAGGTCGCCCAAATTAGCTATATTCATGGAATCCGGCTTATGTCCAAGGTTAGGCCAGCACACTAAAGAAGATTGATGAGAGCATACATGTTGGGAGTCGATTTTTCTTAATATTGTAACATATACCACTCCGGTACTTAGGTATCTTCTGTTCAACTCAAGCCGATTGAGGTGCTTGTCCGATCCGAATAACGATGCTTTCAACGGCCTTGATTGGTTCTAGGCATCTTCTCGTAGGCATTAGGACTTCGCTTTCTCTGCTTGTACTTCCCATGGTGTTTGGAGCATTTTGATTGTGCTGTGTTGTTTTTTTGCTGAGAGTGATTCGGATGTACTTGGTCGTGATCATGGCTGCTGCTTCTAGCATTCCGTTGATTCCTCTCACAGTCACTGTCTGAATCAACGGAGCTCGAATCTGAAGACTCCGACTCTGAGCTACTTTCGCCGACAGGGCGGCTTTTATGGTAGATGCAACACACTTTGATACGAGTGCCCCGGTGCAGTAACGTTAGAGGCAATTGGATTATTGAGAATGAAAGACTAGGATTCCAATAAAAGTAAACTCGGAGAGCACACACCTTTGGAACTTTTCTTGCCCATTCCTTCATTATCTACAACATCCTCGCTCCACCGTATGCGTCTGGATGCTGAACTATCCGGACCGTTGGCGCTGACAGAGGGATTGTTTTCGGCCCTTAGTCTCAGTGTACCTTGCGTACCGACTGAAGTTTCATCAGGCTGGCGTGAAATAGACTCAACCTGGGATCCTGATGACGGTGTTCCCTGGGGTGTCTGCAACGATCGCGACATCGCCAAAAGTCGGATTCGAAGTTTAGAAATATCGATACTCGAAGAGATTTGGAAGTCGATAGCGCCGCTCGGTGACGGTGACAGGGTTGGACGCAAGACGGAAGGAAATTCTCGTATGAATATTCCGTAATATGCTGTGCAAACTATGAAACGAGAGATGTCAGGAAAGCCACCCGTCGATTAGATACGGCTTTGGGGCCTCACCGCCTTTGGCGCCCATTAAGATGCCCCAGGAATTACTCTGTAGTTAATCCGAATTGGCGACTTACGTCAATGCCCATCTGTCTGGCACAATGCTTGATGACCTGCAAACTCCGAACAACTCAATGGCACGGCTTGGCGCAATACAAGTTACATTCCCTATCTGGCAGTATTGAATCAGATATAATTTTAGGGCCGAATCTCCGTAATCAACTGTATACATGTCGTGTATGTGACAATCTTGGCCCAGGAACAGAGGTCCTTAGGGTATCAGCGTTGTGATGGCGGGCAAGATCCAAGGTCACATAACAGATGCTGAGTGTATGGAGTGAACACAATGGAAAGACGGCTACATCAAAAAACGGTAATGCAAACACGCATCCTGAACTATGTGATGGAAGGCTAGTAATTATTCGATTCAAATTCCGTAAAAAGACCAGCCATCGAGCTGGTCTTTGTCACCGGCAGATTCTGACTTCTCCATGCCATCACCAACCTCTTCAGAAAACGAAAGTTGGGGGGCGAACTCAGGGCGCAGTTCTTTGTCTAGTCATAGCTCGTCTTCTTGGTCCATCTCAGATGGTTTTAGAAGGCCTCCAACTCTCATTGCCCGATCGCGCTCAGCCGCTTTGGCGTCTCGCAAAGCCTGCTCTCGCTCCTCTGCATATAGCTCGGCATTGTCGCCTGCGAACTCTTTGAGGGAGATTAAGAAATCCCGCAAGTGAGTTTTGAACTTGTTGAAATCGTCGTTGAACGTAAACAGCCCGATGACGAATTGCTTGATTTGAACCCTGTGCTCTGAGTTAGCCGATGTATTGAACAACCTATGACAGCCAGCGTGAAACACATACTCCTGGAGGTTCTTGAAAGCATTTTGCAGGAGATTTGCGACATATTCCTGCAAGAAATCCTTGTTCGATGTTCCAAGCGGTGCTTGCTCTGGGGCATAAATTGGTTCCTGCACCTTTCCGGATTCGATGAAGTAGAACATGCGTGACAGGAGCATTGCTTGCGATTTGAACCCTAGAGAGGATGAGTCTTATCCATAGATCAGTCAGGGAGGGATGCATACCGGCTTTATGATCACTATCGGTAAGAACAAAGAATACATCCTGCAGTATCGCAATATAGAACTGACGGAAGAAGAAAGTTGACGTCTGAGCATCCGTCTCGGCCATGTTGTTCATAAGCTCAAGGCACATCGTAAGACCAGTGTTCTCCACTTCGCGATTGTCATGTTTGCTGGCCCACATGCAGGAGTCGATCACAAATTTGAATTGCGTGGCATCGAGCTTGAGTAGGGCTGGGAAGCAATATAGATTAATAGCTTGAAGCAATTTGAAAAACTGCACGCGGTGCTCGGGATACTCGTGGAAGTCCTTATTGATCATCTCGAGTGTGCACTCAAAGACACTCTCCATGATTAATGGCACTTTGTCTTCCATCAGGTTCTGAGAACGTATATTAGTCTTTGTCGGGGCTGCGGAAAAGGAGGCGAAGCAGTGGGAAATACATACGTGTAGTTTATGGATGATCGTTGTCATCACATTCAAAACTTCAGCTTCTCGTGCATCCGGAACATTACGGCTGTAGTCCAGCAAAACGGCCTCAAGAAGGGGCGGAACAACATTGGCATTGACCATCTCCAAATCATCAGCTTTTTGTACATAGGTGTCAATCAGCTTGAGGATTTCTTTTTTGATTGTTCTCAGCCCTCTGACTTTGGGGGTCTTGGTGGCAATTTCTCCTAAACAGAGTTAGTGGCTTGCATAGGGATTTAAAGAAAAGGCGCGACGAGAATATAATTGCGGGGAGGGGATAAAAGCTGGGCGAGGCCATACCGTCTTGCAAAACAGCACTACTTATGAGCTCGCTGGACGCTCGGAACATGCTGAGCATGTCATGATAGATACGTCCGAGTTGGGAGTAGAAGTAAGTGCCAATCGACGAACATGCAGCAACATTTGTTTTCATAATGTTTCCAACGATCTTGATTGTTTCGCCGTCCTGGAGAATGGACGAGTTTTGATTGGCCCGAGAGATAATCTCGTCCCAAGCGGCATTGGGCAATGACATCAGGTTCTCAATCAGTCGATCCTGGAGGCCTTTCTGTCCCTGTGCAGAAATCATGTAGCCGCATGCCTCGTAGAAAGTATGGACCTGCTGTGGTGAAAGGTCGCAAGTGATTTTTCTCATATTGCGAACTATTTCTTCGATGAAAGGCTCGTTTTCTCCCGGTTGCAGAGCAACGAAGTGACGTCTGCACTTATTCGCAATTTTTATGAAGGTATCGCAAGCCATGTCCTGAACACCTAGTAAATGTTAGACGACGTATATAGGACCAAGAGCCGGCAACCCACCTTCATGCGTCTCGTGCATGAATTCAAAGAGCTTATTGACCACTGTCTTCAGAAACTTCCAATGGGCCTTGAGAAATCGGGGGTATTGCCCCACGATATACATGATATTACTAGCCACGACAGCTTTGTTGTCTTTGCCACGCTTCATCTCTGTAAGACCAAGAAGATCTTTGATAACAGTGACAAGGAAGCGCTTCTCGGTTTCTTCGTTCATGGCTCCAGAGATTGACCCAATTGCCCAGCAGAGCGTATTACAATTGGCCCACGACCACTCGGACCCATCGACTTGTTTGGCCAACTTATCAATCATGATATTCTCGGTGTCAACGACGTCGAGATGCGTGAGGTAAACCAAGCACTCCCGTATTGTTTTGTAAAGCTGGATCGTGTCGCTTTCTTTCACGAACTCCCGCACGATCTCCCCTTCGTCATTTTCGACGATCAGAACTTCTTCGGGACGGACCATTTTTTCTATCATGACAGTACGCAGGCTTGACAAGACCTCCTCATATTTGTGCTTGCGCAGAGGGTAATTGGCCAATGTACTGGGATGCGGCGCCCCTCCATTCGATAGACCACTAACACCCATGCTCACCAGCGGGTTGATATCAGTGATTGGGAGCTGTTGCATTTCTTCGTACAATTCTTGGACAAGACGCGTCCAGTATTCCAGACAGATCTTGAAAACCTCACGATCATCGATCTGGCTGATGCGAATGAGATAGAAATGCGCGTGAGTAAGATAGTCTCGGTTAGGAAGTTTTTCGATGAGCTGTTGCACGCCTCAATCAGTACACGCATACTTCATTGCGCCACAAGGCAAACCGTGAATGAGACCTTGGAACTTACAGTGAGATGGGCACTGAAGAAGCTGCATAGAAATAGTGCCAGGTTTAGTACGAATTCCTGGTCCCTCGAATTGCTCTTGGCGAACGTCTGCTTCAGGTCCATTGACAAAGGGATGGTCTTTGAGACGATCGTCAGTGTTTCCGTGAACATGTGGATCAGCCTCTCATCGTAATTGTACGGGTTGCCTATCTGCAGCCCTCCAATCTCAGTGAGACACTTGAGCGTCACATTGCGAAAGTCGGGGATATCCAGGAAACGGTTAATGAGCGTGTTGATGATGGTCGTCTCAAAGATGTATCCGAGTGGGATCCAATTCAAAAATCGCAGGAGGGTTTCTAGTGTAGCTTTGACTAAGCTGGGTTGGTTCGCCGTGGTGAGAACTTCCGAGCACAGTTGAAAGATTGAAGAAAACTCTTGCGTCATGGAAGTCTTCAGGTTCCGTGCCTTGACCGAAGTCATTTGGTCCTGGGAAAAATCGAAGACCTCCTCCGACAATAATCGAAGAATGGACATGTTGTTTTCGCAAATGGACAAGCTCGTATGGCACGACGAAATGATTTCGTTGATGAAGGTTGGCCAATTGTGCGGCCATTCTTGTTTCAAAATCGAAACAAGCACCAGGTTGAGTTTGTTCAGGAAAGCTCGCTCACTTCTAAGCTTCTCTTCCGAGTTGGAATTCTCGATGATGAAGTTGACAATGAAGTTCCGGATACCTAATCAAGTCAGATCGATTCAGTACAACCTAACCACCTCCAACGACCCTCCTACCTAGGCATTGTTCTCTTGGCAAGACTTTCCAGCGAGTCATGATGACATCGTCAAGAACTTGGAGAGCGAGATCTAATGTTGTCAGCGGTCAGTCTCCGGGCTTGAACATAACTGGAACGGCAGAGGTCATCACACATTTGGTTTGCGGATACGACGACTCTTGAAGGATATTCCCTACAATTAACCAAGCGTCCGGGTTTTGCTTGAACTAAACGTTGAGGATAAGTCAAAACAGTCTCTTATGGCAAGATTCTCCGCACAACACCAGTGGGCTCACCTCCGTTAAAGTCTGCTGGGCTTGTTTTTGCTTGTAAGGTTAAAAGAATGCATTAGTAAGTTGGACAGAGAAATGAGATCTAGCCGAAACTCACCAGGTCTCCTTTACCCTCGTAGAAGGCCCGGACAGTGTTGTCCAGCTCTTGGATGGAAACCGACATCCCGGTCCGGATATCAGCAATACTGTCCTCTGTATGGCCCTAACACGGCAAATATCCTAAGCCTAGGAGGAGAGGGTGAAAGCCTCAGCTCAATTCAGGTGAAGGCGGCAGTTGTGTGAAGGAGAGCAGGAAGGTTAGGTTGAATGTTTTGGTGGGGTCGAGCTTTCTTGGAGGGGTTCGCCAAAGACGTTTAAGCTTGTCGAACAGACTGCGAGCTGACGGGGTAATCAAATGGCCAAAGACGGGGTGGGGAAAAGTCAGTAACTGCAAATATGACTTTTTGTCAGAATTTAATGCTGTGCAGACTACTGGCGGTGAGAATAAAGGCGCTTTGCTTGAGTTGTAGGGACTTTGACGGGGGTCCTTTAGTGAGTTGAGTTAAGTGAACCACGACCGCGAGCTTAGTCATCAAAGCCTACTTCTACCTAGGGGGTACTGTACCGCCTACTTACTTTGTAGGACTAGTGGTCCTCACTTCCGCCAGATATCCAACTCTCATTTGATTCTGAGCATCTTTGAGAAAGGCCCGATGGGTAAAGGATATTGAATTGAAGGGCGGCACAATCCAGCCTCACTTGGCCTACACTGAGGACGCCGATGTACACCTCGCCTTGTGGCTTATGCCCTGTGCGTAACCTAACATCCGTAGCCGCGTGCCTAGGGTTCTCTGAGGAATGATTTTAAAAAATGAGAGTCGATAGGCACAGTACAGAGTACACCGTACATATTATCTTGATGAATGATATAACTACCTAGGTACCCAGCAAGTGTGTCATGATCACCTCGCCGTAAATAGGTGCCGAGCTATTCCGGGAGTATTGTTTTATGGGGGATCCTGACCCACTAAGAGTAAGCACCTCCCCGCGGCCGCCGTGTCGCGCTTCCCTGGCGGGTATCGAGAAATCAAGAGGGCGACTGACTGACTGCCAGAGGTGCGAGGTGAGAAGTTGCGCATCGCAAGGAAGGATAATAATCACGGGCCCCACTCACCTCCCCCTTTTCTCGAGGTGGCGTGTCGCCTGAGCGCGCCATCACACCCACTAGGCCGAAGAAAGTGTACTAAGTGTACTAACTTATGTGACTTCCCAAGTTTCCCCCCCCTACTGAACCTGGTCTTTTGGACCAAGTGGCCAACCAGCGGCTTCAGATGGCGCGGTGTGGCCGATCGCGCGTCAAGTCAGAGCCAATTGACTTCGCATCAGCCAGCTGGCAGCCGCATCTTTCAAACTCGGCAAAATTGATTAAGAAGTTCTCATCATTATCGTTAGGTAGGTAGTACTGTACCTACCACCCCCGGGGCCTGGAGTCCAGACCTACGTGCCTCCTACGTGTCGTCTGTCTTATTATTATCGTGTCAATAACATAATTAATTACTCTGGTTGTTATTGTTTGCTTCGCTTCTCCTGTATCGACCCCTCCTACTAACCTTAACCCCCTTGTCAAGACATTTATCTTCTGATTGTTACTATTGGACCTCTCCCCAGTGGTCTACCCCGTTGTCCCTTTTGGAGGCGGCAAAGATAAAAAGGGGGGGTTGGAAATAGAAAAAGAAAGAGAAAAGGAAAACGAGAAAGCACAAGAGAAAAAGAAGAAGAAGAAGAAAAAAGAAAGAAAGAAGAAAAAGAAGAAGAGGAAAAGACAAGAAAAAGCGAAGGGAAAATTAAAACACATTAAAGATCTCACTCGCTCTGGCATATTACATGTTGGATTGTGATCGCTTATCCCACTCCCCTCCCATACCTGACAGTACAACCACGCTACACCCCCCTCCTTTCTTTGCTTTCCCTTCCCCTCTTTCTTTCAAAACTACGGAGTACCTACTAAGCTTGTCGATTGGAGGCGCTGACTTGACATTTCTTCACGTTCCTTCTTCCTTCATTTTCCTTGCAAAAATCCAGCACTGAACCCAGCGTGGTCCATGTTATTGCTATGATTGAGCGTCATATGCAATAAGTCTTCTTTCTCATTTCAATTCGTCCACTATCCTTGTACCCACTCTCCCTCTGAATTGTAACCTCCAGGGGCGTGGGCTTTATATCTCCGCTAAACGCTTTCCTTTCCCACCGCGCGAATTGCTAACAATACTCTGTCTTGAAATCAACTTCTTGGCTTCTTATCCGGCCCTTTGTTAACACTGGTTGTCAGCAAAAGCGGCACTCAATCTTTGCTCTGTTTACTTTAGCTCGCTTCTTCGCTGTCTTTTCTCCCACTTGTCTTCGCGATTAACCTTGCGCGTTACCGTCGGCGCATGCAAGTTTGTATGGAATCTGATGGTTTCGATTCCCAACGTGGATTGAAAGGGCCGAGACCTGCGATTTCACCAGAGCAAGCAAGCAAGCAAATATAGCGCCCTTATCCGAGCAGCGGGAAACGAGACTTCTGAGATTGGATTTTGCTCTGCCTCTACTGAGCTCGGCTCGTGCTCAAGCGCTAGCGACCAATCATATCATGGCCGCTTCCACCTCTGCCTCGGCGATGGACGATCACGAGTCGGAAGGAGACTACAGGGCGGACCACAGTCCGTCGCGCTTTACGGCAGTTAATGGAAAGGATCTTTTACTTTCCGGGGGTTCTGCAACTACCCCCAACGGGCCATCGAACAATCAGGACCAGCGAGATGTCTCTGACGGCTGGAAAAGGCATACTTATGAGGATACGTTGTCTCGACACGACGATCGAACCCGAGAAAATGGCACTACAGAACATGAGCAGGATGATCAACGGTCGCACCGCTCGCTGTCACGCGGTGGATCTCCCATAAACAGGGGCAAGAGGAAGCGGTCAGAATCCGACGAGCAAGGGGATGATTATGTGTCACAGGAGGGGCCCAGAAGCCCGGCCTCTCGCCTAGATGAGAGTATGGATGCTGCGGCGCAGCCACCGACGTCCAACGGCAATACAACCATCCATGGCGATCGTGAGCTCAAAAGCAATCCTACTACTACGGTCAATCTAAGATCGGAGGACAAGGAGGCTTCAAGGGCATCATCGACCAATGCTGGCTGGCATGATTATGATTCGCAGTTGATTAATCAAGCACAGCGTGCGCAGCAAATTGACGCCTCGGATGCTCAGTTGGCAGAAGCACTCCAGCGCGAAGCTCATGGCCAAGATGCAACTCAGAAGGACTGGGGCGTGATTCATCGCACAGGAGAAGTGCAGCTGCACAGTGACCACACTTCACCAGTATCTGCTTTTCCTCACGAACGGCAACCGACGGCCGTTCAAGTTGCGCCGAAAAGAAAACGCGTTTTTAGCAACAGAACTAAAACTGGCTGCATGACTTGCCGAAGGAGAAAGAAAAAGTGCGATGAACAACATCCAGCATGTAGGTTCTCCCGGCGAAATCATTCTCTCAGATCCATCCTACCAAGCCGTACTTGTAAATAGTACCCCGCGAACTCTAACCTAGTCATAGGTAACAACTGTATCAGGGGCGGCTTCCTCTGTGAGGGTTATTCCTCCAGGAGTACATGGCAAAAACCTTCAACCGCAAAGACGCCCGTTCCGCTTCAATCAAAGGACGGATATGCCGATGTCGGTGGCCAATACATACACGAAGTCAGCCAACACCATGACCGCCAACATAACCTAAATGATCAGCTTGAAGCAAGCAAGATAAGGCCAATCATTGTCGACGATGGTGACCGATCCACATCCCAGTTCAATACGAGCCCTACAGGCCCCCCCTCAAATCGCGGCTCTTGGTCTAAGCGGAATTGGCCAGGCACAGCGCATCCCGCCTACATTCCCGAGCACATCGCTAAATCGGATTACCGTGAGGTACCCTCGATCCACGAATTGCCCCGTGAAGGACACCCGAAGACCGATTATCAGATTGTTCCACCCATCCGAGAGCTTTCCCACGCACATGGGAAACAAGGCGTCTCGTTATTCCAGAGCGGTATTGATCAGCGGCCAACCATTCCCAGTACTATAGACACTACCAGTCCTCAAGCACAAGCACGGATGGCTCTAAGTATTGAACATCAACTGTCTACTCGCACCGTGTCCGGCGAGGAAACGGAAAAGGAAAAAATGATAAGGGGTGAACTCTACAGACCGTTCGATGTCCACCTTGTTGAGGAACGTGAGCGGTGCAGGACGGCACTATGGCGGTTCAATAGCGCATGCAACCCTGTCTCGGGGCTAAATGCAAAGGAGCAAAATCGTCTCCTGAAGGAAGTTCTGGTACTACAGAGCTCGCCAGTTGGCTCGCCGTCAGCCGTCTCTTCGCCCCGGCCAGCAGGAACAATTGGGCAAGGAGCTCTTGTTGAGGCACCGTTCCAGTGCCACTATGGGTACAACATTCACATTGGGGAGGATGTGATGGTATCCGAGAGCTGTTTGTTTGTGGATGACTGCCCTATCACCATCGGTGCCCACACATGGATAGGCCCGAAAGTTACTATTCTCAGCTCAATGGCTCACGCGAATATGCAGGAACGGAAAGGCACGCAAAGTCGCTACCAAGGGCGACCTGTTACAATTGAGGAGGACTGTTATGTTGGTGCTGGTTGCATCATTTATCCTGGTGTTCGCCTTCGACGCGGGGCTTATGTAGCTCCGGGGGAAATAGTCAAATCCGACATTGTAGCTTATGGTTTCCAAGGTCTCAAACCAAGCTACATGTGATGAGGTTGTAAACTAAGTAAAGATCCTTGTTGAGTACAACGTCAATCTGCACCTATGTTATATATTATGATCATGAAGCCGCATTGCACAGCAATGTGCAAACTAGTGAAACGAACTGGAGCCAATTGTTCTACCGCTCTTGCCTTCAGCCCCAATCTTGGCCAGGTGTTATAGTCCCCTTGGTTCTGTCTCTCCGCTCGGGCTAATTTTTTTTGAGTTCACCGAGAGATGTGGAATGAACACGAAACAAGTTGATTTTCGGGTCAAGGCTACTTATACGGAATCTGTACACAACGCTATGTGTCATATATAACCGCCGGTCTTGATGGTGTGCTGTGCTATCTTTGCCAGGAAGCCTGTCCACAGCCTTCCAGTGATAGAGCGGCAACACCAATAACACATAAGCCGGCAGATAGCCATCGATGCTAACCCAAATTCCATAACTACACCGTTGAATGAAAACCCACGAAGCACTGGACGCATAACAAAGATGACAGCACGAGTTACACATGCTAAAGCCAATCCAAAAACTCTGGTACAAAATAACTTACTACAATTCCGGCCCCCGCTCTAAGGATACCCTCTGTGCTTTCAAACGCCATTGACTTCAAGTCAAAGACGCCGGCTTTAGCACCCGCATGTATCATGGCATATTCGCCACTCACTTGGTAGGCAGCAATTGGGAGGTCGCTTGCTAGCTCCTTGGCGTCCCTTATAATATCCAAGTGGCTGCCCGCAGGTTTCACCATGATGATATCTGCGCCCTCGCCCATATCGCGCTGCATCGCACGGCGGGCCAAACCCCGGCCTCCTGGGGGTAATTGATAGCATCGGCGGTCTCCGAATGAAGGACACGAGCCGGCAGCATCACGGAAAGGGCCATACAAGCAACCACTAAATTTTGCCCCGTAAGACATTAAGAGGACTCGGTGGGCAATTCCAGCCTCAATGAGTTTTAGTTTGATAGCACGCACTCTTCCGTCATTCATATCCGACGGTGCAACACAATGAGCACCAGCAGCAGCATAAGCCAGAGCAACATCTGAGATGCGATCAACAGACTGCGCATTGTCAAGAGTTCCATCCTCCCGGAGTATTCCGCAATGGCCATGAGACGTGTACTCGCAAAGACATACATCCGTTACAATGTAAAGCTGGGGAAAGCGCGATCGAAGAAGACGAATGGCCTGCACGACTGGGCCAGAGGGATCATCTGCAGCGGTTCCCAGGGCATCTTTTGCAGAAGGATGAAGCGGAACACCAAATAGCATCACCGAGCGCAACCCTTTGTGAACAAGGGGTTTCAGGAAAGGGACAAGCCGGTTTAGTCCTCTGCGATGCTGGTTAGGGAGTGATGGTATGGGGGTCTCTTCATCCGGGTTATCAGTGATGAATAGCGGATAAATCAACATTTCCTAGCCCACAATTAGTACTTGCAGGAAGTTTAATTTCTTGGACAACGCGATAGTCTTTGGATGTTTATAAAGAGAGAAGGAATGCACACCTTGGTAAGTTGTCTTTCGGCTTGCCATGACCGGCTCAATGGGTGGCTATAACCAGCGTGGAGGTGGCTTGAGATGTCACCTGATATGCTAACACTTGTCGCAGCAGTACTTGTGTGCGATCGAGCAGTAGCTTGTGACCGGGCACGGGATATCTGAGAGCTGCGGTCGTCATGGGCATCTCTGAAGGCCAGATCGGAAACAAGATTAGAGAACGACATGGTATGTGTATAGCGAATATCAATTCTGGGTATTCTTGTTCTTCGCCTTTTAAGTGTGTTGGGGCAGGATCTCAGATTTGAGAGTTGGTTCAAGAAAGAAAAAACTTGCGAAGCCTCTACTCTAGATGACGGATTAGCTTTAAGAGAGTTTTGGTCTCAGTAACTAGTTGCAAAGAAAGAGCCTTGATTACTAACAGTAATAAGATGTATTATGATAGGCCCCAGCGATGGGCACAACTTGTTTTGTATTAACTTACATACCGAGTAACCGTCTCACCGCCCAACCTGTCACGGGCTACCGACTGAGCCACCAAAAGACTAGAATACCAAGTCCCCAGACTTGGCTGCGCATCGCTCTATATAGTGGTTCTTTGTGGTCGTCCGTCACACCAAGAACCACTATATAGAGCGATGCGTGTATCAAGTCTGTTGACTTGGTATTCTAATCTTTTGATAGCGCAGTAAATAACTATTTAATATTAATAAAAATATTCCATCCATTGAAAGCAAAAAATAGTCAAAGTATATTTATTATTAACTATTATATAATGTTAATTTAAATCAATTGTAAATTCGATCTTTAATATAATTAATTAAATTAAAATAAAACAATCCTATGCCAAAAGAAATTATTTTTATGATTAATTGTTGATTGATTTACTGCATCCTGTCACCGCCTATCTCAAATAGCTAGGCTTGTCACAATCCAGATGTTGACATTATTGAGAAGCTGCTATCTTTTAAATTATTTACTTTATTTTCATTTTAAAAATGTGTTTTATACTTTTTTACAAGCTTTCGAGTTTCGAGCACTTTAAATCAACATTATTTATTTAAGACTTTTTATTTTATTTTTTAAAACAATTAATATTTGTTGTATTTGATTTAACGTTATTAAAAATTATATAATTAATTGCTATTTCATTAACAATTAATTATATTTAATTATTTTAAAATTATTATATATTGAAAATGATATTATTTCGAATTAAAATAAATATAATATAAATATATAGATTTTAATATAAATTTTGAATATATTAATTTTATTATTTATTTATTATTTTATATATTAAAAATATTTATAAATATAAAATTAAATTTTTTGAAATTCTGATTTTTTATGTAATTTAATTTAATCTTGTAACTGCAGAGGGTAGGTATTCTATTGCTAAAGGACGCAAATCCGTTTTTTCCTAAAGTAGACATTCTGTTTCTTTTATCTACAAATAATACTTATTAAATATAAATAATAGCTCTAGAGCTACCTTCATTAAATTAGATAAAAATTATTAAAACAATATATATAATATTTTGACTTTAAAATCTCTTATCAATTTTTAAATAAATAATCTAATAATATTATAATTGTGACGGCCTACAAAGGAGCTTAGTAAAAAACAAGTTTGTTTATGATTCTTAGTCAAGCAATTTTCTCATGGAAAAGAAAGGAAATATTTAACAAAGGATTTTAAGATTTTTATATATTAATGAAATCTGATTAGATATAAGAATTTTTTACTTATTATTTCACAATTATCAAAAAAAAATTTATGTATATTAAGATATTTTTTTGTTCAATTAGAATCTTTTTTAAAAATTTTTAAAATAAATAATTAATTATATCACATGTCGGATTATAACAATATCTTTTTTTTTAAAAAAATCGATCTCGCAATTTTATAAATTTGTTAAATTGACAAATTATTATTATTATATTTGTTTAAAAACTTATTGTTGATTGTAGTGAATTAGTTATTTAATTATTATAATAATTTTGATTTGTTTAAATATTGATCATGAAATTTTTATAATTTAGATAATATGTTGTAAAAATTAAAAACAAGATATTATATAAAATTTGATAAATAATTTTTTTATTAAATGCGATAATGCAATTTTTTGTTATATAATTGCAAAACAAAGATCTTTTTAATTATTTATTTAAATTTTTTTAAAATTCAATTAACGATTTAAAATTGCGGAATTGATTAATTATAAATAAAAAATTGATTATTTTATAAAAATTAAAACAAATTGAATATATATTTATTAAAAAAATTTTAATATAAATATATATTCAATTTGCTTTATAATTTTATATAAATTAATTTATTGATTATTAAACTTGCAATTTAATTAATTTAATTTTTAATTTTTAATAATAATATATATTTAATTATTAATTAAAGAATTTATTGATTTTTAATATTTGTCAATTTATTGTTTTATCTTAATTTAAATAAATTTAATTTGGTTTTTTATATAACTTTAAATTTATTTTAATTTGTGAATTATATAATAAATTTTTATTTAAGTTTGCAATTTATCGCAAGATTTAAAAGATATAATTCAATCGAAAAATATATAGAGTTTATAATTTTATTTTATCTAAAAAAAATAATTTAATTAATTTGTGTTCAAAAATAATATAAATAAAATTTATAATAAAAAGCAATTTTAATTAATTATTTTGATAATAAATTATAAATAAATAAAATTTTTAAATTAAATATTGATTTACAATTTTTATATGATTATATATAAGAAGCTTTTGATTTAAAATCAATTTTTGTTTAATTTATAATCTTAAATAGAGTTCTTTTCAAAAAACAAAAATAAATTAATTATTTTGATTTGAAAAGATTGATTTTAATAATTTAATTTATTAATATATATATTTAAAAAAGAATTAAATTATTTTTATAATGATTATATTTTTATAATAAAAATAAAAATGATTTATTTTATTAATTGATTCACAATCACACATATTTTATTATAATTATATTTGTTTTTTAGATTGGTGCAAGCAATGAAAGCGTCGATAAAACAATCGATATTTGTTAATATGGTCATGATTGTTGAAGCAAAAGAAGCGACTAAGTCCGATCACTCTAAAATGGCCGGAAATTAGAATAAAACATACATATCACAATTATAGAAATCTTGGGATTATCTGTAGAAATCAATTTCGCAATTTATTTTGTATTTTATCAAATAATAACATGATAATAATTGATAAGCAATGCTACAACAAAATAATAAGATTTTAAATGCAACATTTTTGTGAATTAGATATATTATAAAAATAAATATATTAATAAAGATAATAAAATAAAAATATAATACATAAAAAAATAAAATAAAAAAATTAAAAAAATTAATTAGATTTAATAATGAACAAAATGATGATACAACTATAATAATATTTTATATTTAATAATAAAATCAAAAACATTTAGATTGTCAATATAAATTTATTTTTTTAATAAAATAATCACATTAAAACATAAAATATTGCATATAACAAATTTTATTATATTTGATGTAAATAATATATCAACTCATAATATATTTAATTTTGTAATAATTTTTTTTAATAAAAATATTAGTATTTCATGATTCTTTATTCAAATAAAATCAAATCATTCATATTAACATTTGAAAAAATTAATATTGAATTATATAGATTTGAATTAAATAATAAAAATATAAAATGAATACAAAATGTTTAAAATAATTTTAAATAATATATAAAATAATTAATACAATTAAAAATTTTAAAAAACCTTATATATTATTGAAAGAGGGAGCAATTGAATTAATGTATAATAAATATAATATAATTTTAATATAAATGAATAAAAATTTTGTTTCTTAAATTTAATTTCAAAAATAAAATATAATATTAATTATAAAAATATTTTATATATATCTTAATAAATAAAAAAAATTTTGACATTATATTTTCACCAAAAATTTTATTGAACAAATAAAAAGACTTTATAATTTTTGCAAATTAATATTAAATATAATTTTATATAAAAAGATATCAATAATAATATTAAAAAATTTATTTATAATGTTGCTAATAGATAATATAAGAAAATAATTATTTATTTTATTAAAATTGATTGTCAAATAATACCATAATATAACTTTAATAATATAAATTATATATTTTGATTGATCATTAATTTGAAAATAATCAATAATAAAATAAAATTATATAATATTTATATAAAAAAATATGTTTTTTTAAATTTTAAAAATAAAAAATGAATCTTGATCAATAATCAATTATTTAAAGAATTTTTAATTATAAATAAATAATTGATAATGACAATATTTTAAGATCTAATGTTTTAAATAAAATTTTTAAAATCATATTAATTTATTTGATAAATTTGTTTACAAATATAAAATATTTATTATAATCATTATTATTAAATAAATCAATAATAAAATTTATAATAATAATATAAAATAATTCAAACATAATATTAATTAATTGTCAATTATTATATGATAAGATAAATAAATACAAAATTTATTAACAAAATATATAAAATATTGATTAATATATTTTTTAAATAAAATATAATCTTTATAAATGCAAAAGTTTTTAAAATAATTAAATATTTATTAATGTTTTGATAATTATTATTGTTGTATATTAATTTAAAGAAATTATTAATAATTATATATAAAATATAAAATTAATATTTTTTAATAATTTCATTATGCGCAATATAACATTTGATTATAAAAATCATATCATTATTTAAAATATAAAACAAATTTTTTATATCAATCGATTCATTATCAATTGTAACAAAGATTTTTATAATTTAAAATCATTAAAATATGCAATTCAAATATAATTTTTAAATTTGTTTGACAACTTTATTAAAAGAACAAATATAAGAATAATATTAAAGTTTTTAATCTTTTTAAAAAAGATGGACAAAGAATCTTTAAAAATATTATTAAAATTTTCAAAAATATTAAAAAAATCTTTCAAAACGTTAACAATATCGATATTAATTATATTAAAATTGATTCAAAATTTGTTTTTTACAATAATATTAAAAAATTTCAATAAAATATCAACAACAATATTTTTTTGTTAGATTAATAATAAATAAAAAGTCAAAATTATTATATATATAAAAATGTTTTAATAAAATATATTTTGACATATTTTAATTTATCAT